CAATTAATGCAGGATGAAGAGAGGTATTTTCTTCACTATAGACCAAAGGCTTGCTGCCATTTGAAGGATTATTATTCGGCCACAATACACGTCCCTAAACAGCAGAGCCCTACTCCTGGCTCTTGGATCATCCTCTACAACCCCAAATAAAAATCCAGACAATGCTTGGGAAATGATTTAACTTGCAAATACATAACAGCATTTGGCCAGCTCATAGATGTATTTATAATTAGAGACCCTTAATTGTTGGGTGAGTCTCTCTACCAGCACTCTGGGCATGTAAGCGTATCTCAAAGCAGAACAGAAAACAGAAAAACCAAAACAAACATTTAAGGGCCCATTTTGTGGCTAGAGAAGATTAAGTCAGTGAGTGCATCTTCTTGGTTAAATTATCTGCTGCTAAAGTACTGCACTGATGCTCAGCAATACCCGGTACAGCAGACAGCCTTGATCTATATGCAACATAGCTATGATTTTTAGATTTAATCCCTCAGTCCCCTTAGACAACCTTCAAGCTAACAAAGCAAGTACTGCAGAAGACTGAGCAAATTAAAAGCTTGAGGATTATTGACAAAACTGGTTTCCTGCAGTACCTGGACTGGTCAGGTATCTGCATCTCTGTAGGCATCCCCGTAGGATCTTCACTTCTGAGTAGTTGTTAAATGCTGCTGTTGACCTCTGAAGGTATTTTGTTCAAGAAGCTTCCCACAGCAAAGCCACGTACATGTTATCAAAGAATGCACGCCCTCATCATATCATCTGAGTGGAAGTATTTCTCTACATGGCTGAGGAAGGTTGAAACATGAAGATACTAAGCTGTTCCTCAAACCAGAAGCCAAGCTAAAGTCTGTGGCTTCATGGTCTAGCTTTGTATTTTCAGTATGTGATACAGCAAAAGAAAGACAGTCATAGCACATTGCCTTGCCCTGTCTTGTTTTGTCAAAGCAGCCACTGTAGCACAAGTACCAACCTTTATCTTTAGGTGTTTATCCTTACTACTGCCACAGATACTGCAGTGCTGCATTTCCCCTGCTCTTTTACCCATGTTAGTGCATATTACAGAAGACCTTTTTATTGTTGAAATCTGTTTGCTAGGAGAGATGGGGCTAGCTCAACACAACTGAGTTTTACGCCCATACCTGCCTCCAGTTTCCTTCTAGTCAATTTACAAACATCAGCAAATTCAGCATGTACCATCAGAGCCTGGTGACAGCCTGCTAAGCGTATCTATTTGGTTTGGAATATAAAAGTTCAGAAGAGAGGGGGATGCTTTTGAGGCTAGCACTCAAGTCTGGGATCAAATAAACACCAATTCAGTTCCTGCAGCTTTGGCACGGCTTAGCTCCCTTGATCAGAAGCACGATGGTTTCACCTCCATTCAAGTCCTTCCACCTACTGTTCCCAGCTCTTAGTCATCCCCTTCTCAGCAGCCCCCTTAGGCCATCTGTTCTCCAGAAGTCAGAGGTGCCTTGTTTTCTCCATGAAGAGCAATGCAGCTGTCCTAACGGGGCTGAGCAGCACGCTGCCTTGGATCAGCCAACGAGAACACAAGGCACAGACATTTATGCAGCCATCTGAACACAGTCCAGCGCTTTCAGTTCTTCCCGTTTGTAAAGCACAGATAACAGTAATACTGCCACAAATCCAAAGATTTATGTAACAGTGGTTTGACATCTCAGGGTTTTAAAAAGGCTCCTGGTCATGATTTATTTTCACACAGCAAAATAGGAGTAGCATGAACATGGATGATTTTACAAACAGCTCTGTGGGCTGTCTTGTATTTCCCCCCTTCTCAGTCCTTTTGTCTCAAGTCATACAAGCAAATATGACTAGTTCTTTTTTAATTAGACCGATTTTGCTGGTACTAGTACTAGCTTTAAGACCACCTAGCGTAAGAAAGGTGGCAGCAGGGAGGTAGCAACACCATAAGCGTGGACTAAATGACCCCCTGAGGTCCCTTCCAAGCCGAATTAGCCTGTGAGCCTATAACCACAGCAGCAGGAAATGCCTAGAGCTGACCAGATTAACCTTCCTTCCAGTTCTGAGGCCCAGGATAAACCAGTCTATGAAGAGATGTGTCACCTGTCTGGTTTCAACACAGCTTCTCTTGTCTCTTCAGTGATTTTAACACCATCAGCCAGTATCCTAGTCACCATGCTGAGTCCTCGGCAGCAAAAGCACACATAGCTGCCTCATCGACATCTGGTCTTATAAATACAGGCTCTGCACTGTTGGATAATCTGTTAACAGCAGAATAAATGACACTGAAAGAGTAATTAGCAGCAACTAGGAAGCCTTTACGTTCAGGAGGAAAAAAATATTTGTTTGGTAAGAGACACAAGTAAACACTGATTGCAGTCAGCAATCCTCTGTGCTTCAAGGTTTGCAGCGTGCGTGGGACTTGGTGCTACTGCAAGATGCCAGCAGCAGCCCTTGGCTGAGCCCTGCACAGCCAAAGGCTAGGTCAGACACAGGGGATAAGCATGCTGCCCTGCCATGTGAACATGGCTTGGTGACAATTCGGAACAAGTCCCATAGGTACAAGCAGGATGTCAGCCCTGGCAGGGCCTCCAGCCCCTCTGAAGTGCCCGCACCAAGCACATCAGTCAGTCTGACTGCATCAGCGTTTGTTCTCACACAAATTTCCATCCACTCCAGCTCATCAGCACCCGCATTCGCCGTGTGGTGAGCAGCTGCCACGCCACCATCCCGGGATCCAGCTGGAGCAGTGACATATGCAGTGTCCACACCGCAGCCGTGGCTGTATTCGGTCACAGTGGGGCTACACAGTTTGCCTTATGCCTACTCAGCCAAGAAAATAGCCCCTACCACAATGCCATGGAGGAGCCATGCTTCTTCTAGATACTATTTCATAGCTTCTTATCATGGGTTTCAATACCTACGCAGAAAGATGAGGCAATGCACTACAGCAGGGCCCCAACATTATTTTAACAAGATTGGGTTCTGCAGCATACACGCATTCATTCTGTGGAAAGAGGGCTCATGTTACTAGTCTCTAAACTAGCCAGCTCTCGAGGGTATCAAATGGAGAAAGACTTCTTCCCTTTGACACGTTTTCCATTTCCACTCCAGTTATTTCCTCTAACTGCTTTTCTACAGGCAGCTTCACTCAGGCCTCTCAGCTCCTGCTCGGGGACCCACCAGTATTTCATTTTCTAAAAGCCACAGCACCGTGCACACTGCTGCAGAGACAACTGATGGTGCACAGTCAGGTCACGAGTTCTCCCAGGAATCATCCAAAAAAGGCAGAAAACAAGAAAACAATTGAACTCATTTGATCTCCAACAGGCAGACAGACTCCCCAGTTCTCAACTGGAACCAGTGGAGATGCACCAAGGATTAAGATACCCCCTTGTGTTTGCTCAGAGGGAAAGAAAGGGGCAGCACACCCCAATCCATCGGCTATCCTTCGACAATCCATGCGCTGGCCCAACAGCCATACATTACACATTACGCCACTGCAGCACTGACTGCACAGATCCTCCAGAAGGGATTTACGAGGTTAGGCTGCCAGCACTTAGAAAGCATGCAAACAGCCAAGCCAACAGGTGAATGTTTTGCTTACATATTCCAGGGGACTTCTTTTCCCCTTCTTAGTAAGCTATGGCACTGCAAGTCTCTCGCTTTGGTCATGGGAATCATTATTTTTTTCTGGGTCTATGGATAAAAAAAGTGGATTGTGGCTGATGACCAGAGGCTCAGTAAAGTGTGTTCGTGCAGTGTCCTTCCCTTGGCATGAATCCTGGGATGCCTGGGGGATATTGCATGGACTGTTGGAAGTTGGCTAGAAAGGATTCCAAGCCCTCTGGATGTATACCTGTATTTTTATTCATTTATTTTAAGAAATCTCACTCCAGTGGTGCTTTCTTTGAACCATATGCAATCCTGGACCTCCTCCCCAGAACACACACTGCACTCACTGCTCGAGACAGAGGTCCAAAATTCGGGGTGCTCACAGCAAAACAAGCTGTGCATACACACTGCAGACCCTGCCAGCAGCAGGGAAGCATTGCAGGCCATTCTGTACCGCACAGATTACTTCAGAGGAAAAACAAACGGGGGGCGAGGGAACGACATCCCCGAGATGTTGTCATAAATGCAGCTTTCTGAAAAAGAAAAGCCCACGCAAGCACCTGACCAGGTATCGCAGCGCTCGCTGCTTTTCAGACAAGGCAACAGCAGCCCACACGCTGCTCGCGGCGTGAAAAAATACCTTGATAACCAGACCTGCAATTAATTAACGAGGCCAGACATGAGCTGCGGAACAACCCCCACAGCAACCCCCTCCCCAGGTGCTGCGTGGCTCCAGGGAGCAGCAGCCGGGCTGCGGATCGCTGGGGCTGCGGAGGATGAAGGCGAAGGTCACACGAAGGGAAGGCACCGCTACGTCGCCCGCCACAAAATGGTAGCACCACAGCAACCCGAGGGCAGGGGAAGGAGATAACCCTGGATCCCCCCCCGGCCTCCCTGACACGGCACCCACCAGGGTGGGCTGCGGGGGTTGGGGGTTTGACTGGAGCAGCCCCCAGCCCCTAATTGCATCCACACATGGGGGACCCCAAACCCCACTGGGAGGTGGGGGGATGCTCCTGTCGCCTCGAGGGGCCCCCTACAGAGGAGACAGCCCCCGCACAGCGGAGATAAGCCCCCCAGAGAGGAGATAAGCCCCCCCACACCTCGCACCGCAGTGCCCCGGCGCTCTGCAGCGCTGCTCACACGCAGCCCCCCCCCGGCACTGCGCTGCCCGTGCACTGCACCGCACCGCCCGTGCGCCCCGAGGCGCTGCCCCCTGCAGCCCCCCCACCTCCTCCATCCCCCCGCATCCCCTCACAGCCTCTACGACCCCTTGCAAGCCCCCCACACCCTCTACTTCCCCCCCCGCACCCCTTTTCCTCACGACCCCCGCGGCTCTGCCCTCATCCCCCCCCCCCATACACACACATACACCGGGACCACCCCCCACCCTCCCCAAACCTCACCTCCCGACGAAATTCTCCAGCACCGAGCTCTTGCCGGCGCTCTGCCCCCCCACCACGGCGATCTGCGGCAGGTCGAGGTTGGCGTTCTGCCCGATGGCGGCGAAGGCGTCCTGCAGCCGGTTGACCAGCGGGATGAGATCCTCCATCCCGCGGTTCCCCATGGTTGCGGCGTGGCACCGGCACCCCCCCCTCCCGAGCTCCTCACACCGCTGCTGCTTCCTCCTCCTCCTCCTCTTCCTCTCGCCTTCACTGGCGGCTCAAGCCCAGCCCTCACCGCCCGGTCGCTGAGGCACCGGCACCAGCCCCAGCCCTCGCCCCGCTCGACGCTGCCCGGGCTCGGCTCGCCTCAGCCCCGCCGCGCCTGCATCGAGCCCCGAGCCGCCGCCAGGGGGCCTTAAGGGCGGCAGGAGCCGCGCCGCAGCCTGGGAGTTGTAGTTCAGTACCTCAGGGGTCCGCCCGGTGGCAGAGACCCCCCCCCCCTCGGTGTCGTTCAGCCACCCACCGTCGTTGTCCACCCTTGGCAGGCTCCCGGGCACGGCCGCAAATGTGGCGGGGAGAGGTGGAAGCAGGGCTCGGGGCTGTGTGGTGCCCTGGTGAGGTTCAGCTGGGCACCTGTGTGGGGTATCAGGTACCTGCCCGTGGGCCTGGCCGGCTCTGCTGCTATCCCTGTGTGGTTTAGTCACTGTACGTGCACTGTGCAGTCGGTATCCTGTCACGATTTGGTCAGTATGTGTGTATGGTTTGGTTCCTGCACCTGTATGGTTTGGTCCTGAGTACGCACGCAGGTGATAAATGTGTGCTCAGCCGCTATCTCTGGGCAGTTTGGTCACTGTATATACACTGTGCAGTCAGTGTCCTGTCACGATTTGGTCAGGACGTGCATACGCTTTGGTTCCTGCACCTCTACAGTTTGGTCTCGCAGGTGATAAAGGTGTGCAGCTGGTCAACATGCCCTGCGGTTGGGGAAGGGGTTGTGTCAGGATGGCACTCATGGAACTACCAGAATACACAAAATACTTGATACGATTCAGCTAGAGGCTTATAAAACACTTGTGCATTTCTGCTGCTTGATCCTCATTGAAACGTGGATGAAAAGCATAGATTTCTGTTTAGTGCTGCAAAAGAGTAGATATTACTGTCGCTCCTGCCCTTGTTTTACACAAACACAAACAAGTGATACATTTCACGCACTTAGATTTTCATTTTTAAAAAGTCACTCATCTGCAATAAAGAGAAAAACTGATTTTAGGCTTTTCAAATTATTGCTTTTTTATAAAAATATGGTGTGAGGCCATATTTGATCTGAAGCCATAGCAGGGAAAACAAGCATTCAGAAAAGAAACTGATGGCTAGCAGTGACTCAGGAGAATGCTGCATTTCAAACACCTCTCAGTTCGTGCTACCCAGTACTCTTGTTCGCAGCTTAGAGACAGCTGGGGGTGGTGGGGGAAAGGAATAACAAAAAACTGCAACAGATTTTGAGCTGTATGTTTTGTTTTAAACGGCAACTTTTTATTCGTAAGGCTTCTGAGCAAAATTTCACAGATGTCCATCAAATTTAATCTGTACAGAAATACCTACCAGGGTGAACAGAGAAAGTGGAACAGCCACGCTTGATCGTGAATTTGCCTCACTGTGTCATGGAAGATGCCCAAGGAAAATGCTTCAAGAAGATCATCAGTATGCAGGTAAGACAGCTGAAGGAAGGAAGAGAACAGATCTGCTCCATCTGTATAGGTAACATTATTGTAGGCCATACGTGGGTTGTTTTGGGGGCTGTTGATGCTATTTTTTCCTCTCAGTAATTCTCAAGAAACAAACTTAAGAAACTCAATTGATGCTGTGGACAAATGTCTTTGAGCAGATGCTCCAAGGTATTCTGATCACTTACACTGAAGGACCCTATAAAAAGAACATTGCTTTTCCTTCAAAAGTTGGTAGCTACTCTTTGTTAGAGGTCACCACAAAAAGAGCAAAGAGCATCAGAGAGGTAAAGAATAATGTTACCTTCTTCCCTGGGTCAGAGCTAACGTTCAGAGTACTTCACACCAAAAGGATCTTTGAAGCTTTATCTGAAGAATTATGAGAAGAAAATTGTTTTTTTTCCTAGAGGTTGGCATAGCCTGAAGTTCACCCACACAGGTCCAAATTCAGCACAGAGAAAAGAGCTGCCCAATTACATCACTGCAATAATACCTCATAGTATAACAGCTGTGCTAATAAGCCTTAATGGCCCTGACCAGCTTCATCTGGTGCCTCTTCCCACACCTGTGGGCTTAGGAGCTCTATTTAAACTTCAGCCCAGAATCATGGCTGCTTGGTTCAATTATGGGGGAGTGTTGTTTTTCAGCTCAGTCATAGTCTTTTATGCCTATAGAGCTATTGAATGCTGGTTCCAATTTGGAGGTTGGCTTCTTAGCTTGTTATTAGTTATGCCTTGTTACTATAAACCTACCTGGAAATCACTAGACCTAGTCTTAATGTTGGCCTGACGGTTGGTTTCCTAACTTGCCCTTTTATGTGTCTCATCACTATGCTGTTTTCTTTAACTGGGACTCTTTGTTGAGTCTGGCTGTTTTCATCTGCCCTGCTTGTCTCCCTAGAGTGTTGTAGGACTGGACACTAGTGGACAAGGCCCTTGCTATGTCACCTATGTGTTTCATCCCCTGATTTCTGTTCCTTTGGGGAACAGCCTTGTTCTTGCTGCCCCCTGGCATCAACATCTACTGCTTAGATAGTGCTCATAGGGAATTGACTGTGCTCCCTAGCTTGCACCCACTCCTGTGAATCCACACCTGCTTTTAAGGCTTCCATTAAAGCAACTATATGTGGCTGTAGCAACTGACATTTCTGTTAACTATAAAAACATCAAACTGCAAATACAGTGTTTCACCCCCTGCTTAGTGTTCTAAGCAGTTATTTTGTTCTCAGTGAGCCCACTCCAGCCCAGAAATAATCATTCTGTATTATACCACTAGAAGCAAAATCTAAAGATTAGATTAATGCATTTGTTTTGCAAAAGGTTTGTGGAAGAATATTGAGAGCACAGGAGGTCAACAGCTGATATTTGAGACTACAGGGAAAAAAATAGGGTTAATGTTGCTGGTTAAGGAGCTGGTACAGCAGAAAGACTCCAGTATGACTTCTTTGCAGGTATTTTTTGAGTATTTTTTTTCCCCCATGAAACTAACAAATGGATCTGGGAAAATATGCGGGCCTATCATCTAAGAGTCCTTCATCTAATTAACTGAGACCTTAAAGTCCATGGGAGAGATACTAGGGAGCTATTAGGGTGTTCTCCAAGTAGACTGAGAAAGGAAGAAGGGAGGGAAGGGAGGAAAGTGGTAAAATTCTGTAGAAATATTGGCAAGCTTCACACGTTTCTTAGCAGATCATTATTAGTGGAACACTGTAAGAGGGACAGAACATGTTAAAGTCTCCAGTTTTGCAGTTGTACTCGGAGGCAAATGAGGACACAGTACACGCCTGCAGCATTACTCCTACAAGAATTCATTAATATCATGGAGTCTACCTAAGCATTTCTGTAGCGATTGTAATCATCCAGCCCAGACAGACCCAAACAGCACTGAAAGCAGCGAGGCTTGATTTTTAAGAAGCTTTAGATACCTACACCTCCCATTGATGAAAACAAGAATTGCAGGCACTTAGAATCCCAATCCTAAAGCCTTCCATTTTCTCTCCTGCAAGAAACTGAGTTATGAGTATATTAGTAGCAAACGGGGCTTTTGATTCTGTTATACCTCCTCTCTATGATTTAGGCAGCAGTATGTAGGAGCTATAGGAGTAAAACAACTATGTGATCATCCTTCAGGGGAAATGCTGAAGAATAGCAATGTCTGTGAAATAAAAAGGGGTTTTCCAAACTGGAGCACACAGAAAAAGCTATTTCTACCTTAGAAAAATTTATGACATCAGCAAAGAAAAAATAAGATTTTTTTTTACAGGTATAATAAGTATTTCTGGCCATACATTGATATGAATTCCTATAAATGGGCATAGGCATAATTATACGTTTCTATGTGTTGCTATAAGCTGTAAAGACAGTTGTGCATTGATTTTTGTTGCCTCATGCAAACAGAACTCCCAGTTTAGTTATCATAATGAGACGTAGACATTTGAGTGATAGATTCTGTCCTTCATTCCTTGCCCTTGCAAAAATAACACATCTAGTCCTTAGAGAAAGGCAAAATCATGAAACACAATTAGCTTGATTCTCCTGGTCACCTGCAAACTGTTTCTCAGAGATACAGATGTCACACAGTTTCTGTTGACTCCAGGTAGAGCTATGAATGTTTGGAACTTTTCATGGTGGTTCATGAGGTGGATGATCCTTTGGTAGCTAAGCGGTGGTTCCTTAGGTTCCTAAGAAATGTTTAGAAATAGAGGTAAGAATATACATTAAATGGTCATAAGTAGGGGTGAGAATATAAGTTATAAAAAGAGTTGGGGATAGGATTATTGCTCTGTGTATCAGTATAGAGGATATTACATAGCCAATTAATAGTTAAAAAGCTTAATTAGGACTACCTTCTTAAGTTGTTTCTCTATAGGCAGTTTTATAATTTGTATATTTTTTAAAGTATTTTATAGGTACTTAAATACTACTATAGTGGTGATGATGCTACAGTAGCATCATTGGTCTGTTCAGGTATCAGCGCTCAAAGAAAAAGTTTCTCTAATGTTCCTAATGGTTAGAAAAAGCTATCTGAAAGAAGAATAGCCTTTGATTTTGTGATTTTAAAATAGTCTTTCCTTGCAGCACAGAATAGTGAAATACTTTTACCTTCTGAAACAGGAGATCTGCTGAACTGGTCTGAGAATCCCTCAAAAAGAGTATAAGACTATTGGTAAGGATTATCTTTAATGCAGCTCCCCAGGAGCCAGAATATACATAAGAAGCTGAGCGTTATAGTTCATTAGAAAAAGGATCTGGACATAGATGTGAGTTTAAATGAATATTTTAAGAGTAGCAAAGCTGAGTTCTCAGCTTTCCACATACAGTGAGATAATACAAAATAGTTTCTGGAATATATTTTATCTTTTGGGACTGAAAGTCGCTGGTAGAAGCGGATTAGCCATGTAGTGAAATCATGGTAAAAGTAGTATTTTAGTTTATACCTTGTGGGCCTGCCCTGCCAATCAAGAAATATTTGGAATAGGTTTCTAGAGCAATAAAATGAAGAGTGGGTGCAAATATCTCACAGATTATCTTGCTTTGAAATATTTTGTGCTATTGCTTTCATACGTGTGAATGTAGTCTTCCTACAGATAAAATAGACATAAAAAACAGTGTAACTCCAGTAACTAATACCAGCCTTTGAGGGCAGACCTGGTGAAACCTGACATTGTTACCCATTCTTTCAATAGATAGCCCCAAAACACAGGAGGAAAAAAAATATATATATATATATATATATAGCTCCATGTGCTTTTTTTTTCTCCGAGGAGTTTGGGAGGTTTAGAGAGACTGAAGTGAGAACTAGAATATATCCTAGTGAAATGGATGAGTAATAACGCCCTCCTTGTGGATTTCAAAGGAAGTTGTGGGCACCAGAGTTTCTTGGTACTCTTATAGGCACTGAGAAACTGAGACTGCTATTGAAAATCTGAGTGTGCACAGCTTTACTAAAGGTTGCATAGCAAGTCTTGGAACTAAAATTAAAATGTACATCTGCACCATCCAGTTATGTTCTGTAAATTAGAAATGTCTGGTTATCTGCAGGCCCGATCTGGTCCCTGGAACAAATTCATATAGTCCAGCAAAAACTTGTCTGACTATGTAATGCAATCCAGCTCCTGAATAAAAAGCTTTCCTATGGTCTGTCCCCTTATCTGCCAAGAAATTTCATAACCCTGATCTAATTGTATAGAGGTGTAATGCAGGTTGCCTTTTAGCGATGATCCAAAAACCCATGTTAGTCTCTTTATGGAAGAGTACTTTCTGGGTCATTTTCCTGGCTTGATCTTTTGATCCTCATAATGCTGTTTGATTTACTCCCATTGTCAATGAGACAACCTGTGTGTAACCATCCCTGGCCCTAGGATACCTAGGTTTCTCTGCCTTGAAGGGATTGAGTAATAACATTGTTCTCTTTATTGTAGAACTAAGTTTTTAAGGTTCCATGTATTCACACATAATGATATGTGTTTACCATTGTATCCCAAACATTCAGCAGCAAGTTGCTTAATAGCTGAAAGGGAGGTGTTCCTCACAGGAGGGGAAAAAAACAACTTGATTTTCAGCAGATGAGAGGTCTATCGTGTACCAAAAAATGTAAATTTATATGTAGCAATGCTCAGTGAAGATCAACAGTACCCTTTAGGCTGTCAACTTAATAAATGCTATTTTGTAGTCTGTAATAAAGAAAATAAAGAATCCTAGCTCAATTTCCTGCATTGTTAACTTGCATCTATGTGTCTTCAAACTGAGCAGCAGGATTAACTGAATGTAGAACTTCTGTCTTCTGGATTCGGTTAAGCAATCTCTAGTAGGTACGGTGTTTACATCTGGCACATAAAGGCATTTCTGAAGATCATCCTATGGAGTATGGGACTAAATCAACATTCAGATTTGTGTCCAATGCAGTAGTATGTGCATTGAATTGTAGACTTAATGTTTATAAACTTATTGAAGAAGGTTTAATAATTTGTGTCCAGGACAAAGCAGAAGAAAGCCTATCTTTAATGTATCTGCTTAATATAGGGATTGGTCAGGCATATACAGGATCGCAAAACTATCCCTCCCTTACCAGTGCAGAACAGACTGGTAACCGCTGTAATAGGATGATTACAGAAGCAAAAAGGATCAATTATGCAAAATGATTAGGAAAAGATTACACATGTTTTCTGCTCCATGTATGTATTCCCTGTGATGATACTTAAGCTTTAATGCTTAACAGGAGAGCATTTTCTCTGTGTGCAGACAGCTGTGACAAGATAAACGACTCTGGGCATTACCATGGCCAGTCATTGATTCATACGGATGGTCATCTCCAAACTGACTATTGTAAAATCAGAACAGTTTAAAAAGGCCCAAAGGAAAAATCAACATATGCTGTTGCATTGAAAATTATTAATGCTAACTGTATATCACCAGCAATTGTGTTCAGCTTACAACACTTTCACCTAAAAATCAATTTTGAGGCCTTTAATGAGTCTTTATTAGCATGAATAAAGCAGTCTTTATTGGCGTGAATAATAAGACTAGAAAGTAAATTATTTCAGGACGGATTCTCTGGAATGCAAAGAGAAGAAATGCATCTTCACCCTTGCTAGGTTTAGTATAAGAAATGACAGTCACGATATATTTTTTTTTTCATGCAGAGGTCGTGTGAATTGGACATACTTAAAATTAATTCACCACTGACAGAAAACAAGTGCCGCAGGAAGGGTTTTGCTGCAAACTCTCACAAAAATAAATAAATAAATAAGTGGATGGACCTGCTAGAAAAGTCATCTCAGCCTACAGCACAGCGTAACATTGCAAAAGTCCCTGTTTTTCTTCCAGGTTCTCATGACAAGCTTGCCAAGATGTGACCACAGCAAACGGCCTGAGGCTGTTGGTTGTTTTTTCTTCTCCCATCCCTTCAGCGAGACGGTTACCAAAGATTCCCCTGGACTATGAAAAAACAAACAAACAAAAAGGGGGTTAAAAAAAAAAAAAAAAAGCAGAAAAGCAATGTAGTCGGCTACCATCTGCTCCTCCTCTTCAGCCGCTTATTGCAAATTCCCCCTGCCCCAGCCCTGGCCAGATGGTGCCCATCACCTCCCAACCCCTGTCGAGGGCCGAGGGACCCCTCTTCTGTGCGGGGGACGAGAAATGGAGGTGTCGCAAGCCGGGGCGATGTGAGAGGAGGCTCCGGGGGGGTGATGCAAGCCCTGCAGGGACGCCCTCTCGGAGCGGTTGGGTCCTCCAGCCCTCCAGAAGGAGCTGCCTCCTGCCCGGGCTGGGCCGGGGAGCGGGGCCGGGCAGGTGCTTTATTGTCCCCGGCGGGAAGATGGAGGCGGCTGGTGGGGAGCGGTGAGAGCCCCGGGGTGCGATGTGAGTGCCGGAGGGGCAGGGAAGAAGGGAAAATGCAAAAAAAAAAAAAAAAAAAAGGGTAAAGGAAGAAAGGGGGGCGCGGGGAGGGCTCGGCGAGGGGGGAGGGGGGGGGGAGAGCGTGTTTTTAGGAGGTGGGGTTTGGAAACCTCCTCCACGGGCTGCTGCTTGCGATGACCCCGGGGGAAAGAAGAAGGAGGAGGAGGAGGAGGAAGGGGGGGATCGGCTCAGTGAATGAATGGGCGGCAGCGGCGGTGGCGGCGGTTCCCCTGCTCAATGGCTGCTGGGCTGCTAAGCGCCAGCCCCGCAGCCGGTGCCTCCCTCGCCCTCCCGTGTTTTGTCTCAGGCTCGCCCCGTTCGGGGCTCCCCAGCCATGTTCAACCAGCAGCAGTTCCAGCAGCAGCTGCTGCAGCTCCAGCACCTCCTCCAGCAGCAGCAGCACCACCACCACCACCACCATCCCCCGGCGCAGCAGGGAGGCCGGTAAGCGCCGCTACGCGAGGCCGGGGATCGAGGGCCTGGCCCCGGGGGGGGGGACCGCTCGCCTCCGCTCCCTCCTCGCCCTACCCCCGGCGGGGAAGGCGACAAAGGGAGGGGGGGCGGGCGCTGCTGGACGCCTTGGAGGCTCGGAGGGAGGCCGGGGGGTGTTGAGGAGGGGGGTGTGTGGGTGCTGAGGAGGGGTTGGGGGTGATTCCTGAGGGAAGGAGCCGGGGGTGGGGGGGAGAGGGCTGAGGGCCGGCAGCCCGCTGTGGGGAGGCCGCGCCGCCGGGCGGGTCGGGCTGAGGCGTGAGGAGCCAAGGGCCGCGGGTGCTTTCCGTGATCCTCCCGCTCCCTTCAGACAGCGTTTTGGGAGATGGTTATCAGCCTGCCAGGGCTGCTCCCGGCGCTGAAATCCCCGAGGGGGATGTCAAATGCCCCGGGGTTGAGCCAATAAAGCGAGATGCTCCGAAGGGAAGAGGCTGCCCTCACAGCGAGCGGGAGCGCTGAGGTGGTCGCTCCTCAGCCGGCGGGGAGTTCACTAAAAAAAAAACCGCTGTTTTTACCCCCAGAAATGTGTCTATGCACCTCGCCGAGCCTTGCTGAATAAAGATGCACACTTTCGTCTTGTATTTTTATAAAAAATTTATGACGGTGGTTGAACTTCAGTTGTGTTTGTTGTGTTTTTTGTTTTTTTTCTCTCCCTGGGTCTCCTGGTCAGGGCGAGGTTAGTGGATGCTGTTTAGGCAACTTGTTTCTGCAGTGGCACAACGGCTGAGGACATGACTGGGCATTATGGGGCGTGTGTGGGGAGAAAATTGCGTTTTGTTTGTTAGAAGACAAAAAACGTATGCCAGATTTAAAAAAATAAAATAAACAGGGTTTTCTGAAAAAAAATCAAGAGAGAAAATAGCTGTTTTGGTTCAAGCAGTTGTCCCTGATGAGCTGAGATTTATTGAACTAATAAAAAAAATCTCTGAAATGATGTATATAATTGCAGTTACTGTGCTCTCTAAAGCCTTATGCTCTGGAAATTCACAGCAAGAGGATGTGAATTTAAGAGCAAAGTTAATTCCTTATTTAATAAATTATATATAAAAAAAAAAAGACTTTATCCATACAAAGCATATGGTTATGAGAGAAACGTGGGAATCTTTCTGTTCTAGAAATATTCATCTCCCTAAATCTTCCATTTTTGTATGTCTAAAACTGTAACCAAAGCTGCCCTTAAAATGCAAATATGAGGCTGCGAGCTAGCATGGATGCATCTCGTACCTTTAAAAGTATGTTTTTTCTGGCAGAAATTTCTTCGCTCTGAGACTGGAACAATCTAGAGCAGGAAATGTGAAGATTAGCTGCTGTAAAATCTGTCAAGGGGTTGTTTTTTGTCAGCATGGTTATTTTGATCCATGTTGGTACCTGTTTACAGCCCTCTGACAGATTTAGCTGTGTCAGCAGTCGTTTTTAGAGGTGGGCCTGACCTTGCAATCGCCTGAAGAAATGCCTGCCCGTTTCTTCAGACTTTTGTCTCATGCCTGCTCCACCCTCCTTAGGATTGGAGAGTCCTTTTCAGCTCACTTCTTCCTCCTCGTGTTTTAAATACGAAGGCTGTGCTTTATTTTATCGTCCTGTTCTTGCAGTTAGGGGGCACCATTTACAATTGTGACCTGTCTGGCTCTGTGTGGGAGGCGTAGATTTTGGAAAATGTGCTTTAAGCTACTGAGAAAACTCCCTGGTTTTTAGAACTTTTGTTGTTGTTGTTAAATGTAGCTGCTGATCTAGATCGCTAGTTTCTGCTGAGGAGCTGCTGCATAATTCTGTAGAACTGCAGTCAGCTCCTGGGCTTTTTTTATGCTGCTTGACAGGCTTTATGTGGGCTTGGTGCTAAGGAGTTCTCTCTGACCTCAAATTCCTTGATAGACAATCTGTCAGCTTTGGAAATTCCAGGAGAGTGGAAGAAAGCGGATACAGTGCTGGTGTACGGTATCTTTTCATGCATGTATATGAGCATTTCAGCTGTTCTTTGCTCCTCCGTTTTGTACTTGTTAGGTCTCTGAAAATGAAGGGTATGGTTTGTTTTTTTTTTATTGGATTCTTATGATTAATACCTTCTTTTCCAGGGGTTTGCCGCCACCACCACCGCAACAGCAACAGATGCTGAGCTTACGTGCAACAAATCAACCATCGCTACTCAATGCCAATCCTATGCTTCAGCGGGCCTTACTCATGCAACAGATGCAAGGTACTGTCGTTATGGGAGACGCTTTCTTACTGGAGTTATTTAATCACCCTTTGTAGACTGAAACCATAGTATGGCTATTTCTTGCTGAACCATTGCTGTCTTTGTATTTGGCATTTCTCTTTATCATCTTTTTTTCCTCTTCAAATTTGTCCATAGAACACATCACAGAGGTTCTTCAGTTGATGAAAATCCCATGTGCCTAAGCGTTCACAACTGGGAATAGCACTAGAAGCTATCAGGTTAATATTAAATATGTGCATTGGAAACACCTTCCCTCTTAGACTTGGTGGAAAGAGTATTTTCCCACCAATATATTCAGAGAAAATACTTATGTTTTTATTATTTGTCTCATTTGGGACGCTTAACCAATTTATTTCATTGTCTGTTACATTACACTAACCTCGTTTGCAAAAGTAGATGCTTGTCTTCGTCCAAGCTTAGTGGAGTACAAACAAATAAAGCATATTGTGGTGAAAAATGGTTTGGGTTTCAATTGTTGTGTGGAATTTTGATTCCCTGAAATGACTGACATGGTGGGTAATATCACTGGGATTGGGCAACATCATTGTATTTCCAGAAGTGGATTTTTGATATATTTTCAAAACAAATTTATGGTGCTGCCTTAATTAAGAGCATTGCTACCATAAAGATATTAGGAATAAATACCTGATATGTGTTTTCAACATAGAACATCTGTACCTGGGACAGTTCTAATATTACTAGTTTAGGTTAAAGCTTAGAATTTTTCTCTCGTTTGTGAATCGTGCCCTGATGTGAAGACAATAGATTTATTCTGCATGTTGTTAACTTGCCTTTTGTTCTCTTGCCCATTTAGCAAGAGGGCTCTCTAGTGACCCCAGTGGCTCTCTACAGTCCTGTGTCAGGTTGTAGGGAAACGAGCAGTAATGAAGAACAAACCACATTCTGGAGATTGATGCATATATTTGTGTCAGGGGAAAATTGACTGACTAAAGCACAGTCAGTCATTCTCCTTTCTGATACATTTAATGTTAGCGTAGTCTGGCCTTTTCTCTAAAGCAAAACCTCTTATTGAGAAGTCGTATTTAAATAGTATGCCAAGGACCTGAGGCAAATGAGATATGAGAGCAGGAGAAGGTTTATTAATGAACACTCTATGGCACTTTGTTTTAGTGTTGTCCCTCTTTTCACCTCTATATGCTGAGTTGCATTGTGACTTCTCATTACCCTGTACCAGCTAGCCACTGGTAACATGCAGTACAGATGTGATGTTCGTTGTGGCCCTTCGTAGGGATCTGAATTTTTTTGGGTCATTTTCACATTTGGGTTACGTGTAAGAATATCTGGTGCTGTGGTATTTCTGTACCTGGGAAACACCAGCATAAATAATTCATTGCCTGCATTCCACTTCAGCAGTGGGATTAGGAAGAAAAATAAATACTTTGAAATGTATGCATGGTTCTTTACAGGTACTAAAGCAAGACCAGGAGATAATTTCTTGCCTTATAGGTGTGTTGTTTTTTTTTAATGCAGCTACATATTTTTACAGTAAGAGATTATTTATGATAGGTAATACGAGATTAGATTACTTTTGAAGGCAAACATAGGGTGTGCTCCCTGTTGTGTTCCAGGCTTTAAGCAATGCAGCTTGACTTCAGATTTTGGGTGCCTGTCTCCAATCTTCTCTGGGCTGTTTTAACAGCTCAGCAGTTGGAATACGCACTTACTCAAGTGCGAAGTAAAAAATTGCAGTATAAGTCCAGGTTCCCAGAATGGTAGACAGCTTCTCAGGGTGTGGCTGAGGCATATGTACACTTCCATTCCCTTATCCCCTGAAATGGGGGACCGCCTTTGGAAGGGACTGTTGAGACTGTTAATGGTCTGTGGATGCTGAAGAGAACTGTTCAGAAAGCAGAGCATTATAATTGGAAATGGCAGCATCTCAAGTGTCTCAGTTTAGCTTGACATGTTGAGCTTGCTTGATAACCAGGTGGCAGAGAGGACTGTCAAATCTCTGTTTGAAAAGTCCAGTGTTGCTTTAAATGAAATGCAGTTGCTGGCCAGTGTTAAATAGCATCCATGGTATGGCGTGAGCTGCCAGCTGCACAAATGTGGGATGAATTTTTCTTTTTTTACAGAGAATTTCTGTAAAACGAGACTTGTTTTCTTGCGAACACAAGCACTGGTGTGCTTGGATCAGATAATTGCTCTAATGATCTTAGCCTGCAGTGACAATTGTAATTAAAGAGCCCAATATATAGTAATAGTTGCTATCACATCAAATTGTTCTATGGGGACTAAAAAGGGTAGAGCATAGAACATCCATATGGCACCCAGAGCAGTCCAGTGTCTCGCGTGGAAGAGCCCTTCCCTTCTCTCCCTGTTGCTTGTACGGGAGGGGGGAAGATTTTCTCTCTGTTTTGCATGCCTCAGGGTGGTGATGTGCTGTGTGTTTGTATTTGTAGGAAACTTGCGTGGATTTAACATGACAGCCCCAGCACTGCAGCAGTTTTTTCCTCAGGCTACAAGACATTCCCTCCTAGGGCCGCCACCTGTTGGGGTCTCATTAAAGCCGACTCGCCTGGGCTTCCCCAGCCTTCCCTTCCAGCGGCAGAACCGGATGTTTCGCAAGGTGAGCTTGTAGCTTCCAACTGCTTACAAGCTTTGTGCTCCTTTTCCACTCACAGTGGTTGACTGTGTTACAGGTAAAGAGCAAAAAGGAGAGAACTTTACAGTGAAAACTATTTTTGCACCATACTGCTGACAAAGAAACGAAGAAAGAAGCCCATCCCTAAAGTTCCTGTGGCCCATATTTACATTTTTGATGCTAAAGTCTTCTGTCTGTTCTTGCCCAGGACAGAGAGTTCCTCATAGCACAACAGTTTAGATATAAAATAGAAGGAGACTTTAGAGGTACCAACTACAAAGTAATGACAGTAAAAGAAATCCTGGCTGAGTACTTTGCTTTACAGAGGCCAGAGTTTCTCCCCCTTCAGCCTTTCAGAGCAGTTTGGTGTTCCCAAATGACCTGCTGCTGCCATGGACGTGTCACTTTGCCTCTTTGAGCTGTTTTTCCTTTTTAAGGTCAGAATTATATCTGATCATGAGGATTTTGTAAAACTTAATTTCCAAAAAAATTTAGTATTTTGGAAAATGCTAGAAAAAAAAGCGAACATTCTTACCTTCTACCATTAAGACCTCTGTGTCCTGGAGGCTCGTTTTGGATTAATTGGCCTGGTACTTCTCCTCCTCTTAGATAAGCTTTTGCATATTTGATCCCATTCTGTTGGATAAGGTGGACTTCCACACTTAGACTGTGCTTTCTCTAGAGACTCTCTGCCTGTTGCAGGACTTTCAGAGGGTCCCCGACAGGAAGCGGGAACTAGATGCAGGTTCTTCATCTCAGACACAAGGTGATGAGAAAATGGAAATCCCGGAGGAAGTGCAAGCAGGGTCAGAGCAGAACAACTCCTCTCCATCCACAGGTAAGAGGGAGCCTGTAATGAAACAAATGCTTCCAGACAGTAAACTCCTCATGGCTATTCCTGCAGCAAAGACATGGGATGTCTTTAGCCTTATGTTTTACTCTAATTGTAAATACCTAAATCGTTTGCTGCACCTTCTGCTTTTGGTGCTTTTTATATATACTTTTTATCTGGATATTTTTGGTAGTTGTAAGCCAGCTCCGTATCTCTTGCATGAAAACCTCTCAGAATTCATCTCGACAATGAGCTCCATTTGAGATGTGGAGAAAAGAGAACTGGTTTGAAATTAAAACTTCCACGTTGCCTTACTCATGCTGAATCAAACATCTCATGGAGTTACAAACATGAAGCAGAAGCAGTCCCAATCAACTTGCTTAAGGAAAAGATGAGTTGAATGAGTGCTCCACTTGTCAGAACTGAAACTGGCACTGAATCTCTTGCAGTGTCTGTACAATACCGAAGTAGAAATATTCTTTCTGCATACTCAAAAATGCAGGAACATGGTGAGGTTGTGGCCAGTGTGTATGTGGTGGGGAAAGTGACCCGAGTAAATGGTTGCTGTCGGATGGCTGTGCCACTTGACATACGTTAATGTTCCAGTGGTCTGGGCTCTTGTCATCTAGGTGTAGGACTAAGACCCAGTTAGTAGATCCAAGCATGGATTTCTTTCTGGACCACACCTCTTACTGACATCTGCAATAAAATGCAGATCTCTTAGGTCATGAATTTCTTGAATTATCTAACCTTGTCACTACAATTCCCAAATTCAGAATAAGCAAGTGTACAGTATTATTTGCTCTAAATTAGCGGGGATTTTTTTTGGTACTGACCATTCAGTTAGGGAACGTGCTTGTGGTGCCATGGGTTGCTTTGCTAAGGAGATCTTCTGTGTTCCTGCAGGACCAAGAACTCCAACAGAATCCATGTTGAACGCTGAGCCTGCAGCAAAAAGACTGAAGAGGTATTTATTGAATGGGGTATCGAAATAGTTACAGGCTTTAGAGGTATTGTCAGGTATTGTCTAATTTGGGGCAGTACTGTACTGGCAGTCAGGAGGTATTTCAAATGATTGTGAAAATCTCATGATGCCTGCTGAGATCCGGGATGATATATTTCTCTAAACCTCTTGCCTAACTGCCAAAAAGAGAACTGAGCAGTCAGGTATCAGCAGAGAAGAAAGCTTTGGGATATGTTAGGTACAGTGGGCATACAGGAGAGGATGGTTTATTTTGTGGAATGAGAAAGGGAAAAGAATCAGTACTCCCTGGTATCTGAGCCCATATTCATGGGCGTTGAGTTCTGTATCCCTTCTGCAAAGATCGTCTCTGCCAGTATCCCTGTCTGTTAGGTAAAAATAAACAAAGGCAATCCTATTATCTGCAAGGGCTGTGCAGCACACAGGCGAGCTGGCCGTTGCAGGCTGATCTTGGCACTCCCTGCCTCTCTGGAGGGTGCAGGAAGGCACAGGCAAGGCTGCATTGCCATCTAGTGGGAAGGCACGTTACAGAGCACTGTGCCATCTGCATGGTGCTGTGCCTCTCCCAGAACTGTCACTGTGAGCTGGTGCGGGGGGAGAAGAGGAGGAAGTGAATAAAGATTTCTGGAGGCATTGATTTGAGAATTCTCTGACATATGTTAATGACTATGAGTCAGGGCTCCTGGGTCCTCTTATCTTCCCTGTTAACAATTCACCGCGTGGTTTCGGACAAGTTTCCTCACCTCTCTGTTTCCCATCTGTAGATTAGAGATTAATGGCTAGCTTTAGGGAGAATATTCCAGGATTACTTTGATGTTCTGATAATACTTTCATCATGTAAAACATTAAAGACTGATAAATATTATGTGAGCAGGGACCATTGTGAATTATGGACTGCAAATTAGCAAGAAAGTGAATAAATTCAATTAAAGCTAAGTCAAATGCATTTGAGCATATGTTTTGTTAATCTGTTTGCCAAAGCTAATTTAATTTTAATTACATTAATATTTAGTAGGGTATTAATCAAAGTCCTGTTACATATACTCAAAAAAAAAAAAAATCAAGTGTGAGGAATGACAGATCTCACTGCAGCAAACCTGCTATTAGGAAAATCCTCTCCTAAGCAGTAGCTAGGGACTGCCAGATTTGATGCATAACTTATGGCTGGTGTTTAGTTAGAATAGATCATTCTTTAGCTTTTTTTTAAAGTGTTTCTGTTTACTTTTAATGAATAGATGATAGCTCTCTGAAAAAAAATGGTTTACCATTCTCATATTGCCCTCCGCAGATGAGAATAGGTCTCCCTCCATTAGTGTCACGCTTTTATTTCTTGTTTCATCGTTCCATTTCCCTCTGGCCAGGAATACCAGCCTCCTTCTTCATTTCAGGTTTTTCCCACTTCTGCTTTTTCTCCTCTGTGCCATCTGTATGCCTGGAACAACATCCTCATTCCAGTGCAGAAAGCACTCATCTTCAAATCCTCCTTGAACACCCAGTTCTTCTAGCATGGCCTGACAAGTATCCATATAATAGCATTTCCTCCTTAGCTCCTGCTTGTGATGGCTTTTGCTCCCCTAGATTGCTCCCTAGATTTGCAGTTTAGGCTGCAAACCCTTGCCCTGGAGTGCTGTCACCATCTGTGTGTGGTATAGTGTTGAGCCTGTTGGCAGCACTTGACAAATAATGTTAATGCCAGCCACTCTTGTTTTCATCATGTTTGCACTGCCCAAACCCTGCTGCATATTTATAGCCGTATAACCCAGTTACATTTTCACTTATCAATCTGATAAATTATGTGGGGTGTGTGTGTGTGTGTGTGTGTTTGGATCACAGGATTCAGTACCTGCGCAGTCTGCGTTCTTGCCTGTGCAGAATGTGCTGCCCCATATTGGCAGCAGGATCCTGGCAGGTGGGGTATCAGGCTGGCCTGAGGGAGAAGGCATTCAAGCCATGGTGAAGGTGTTAGTCTGGATGAAAAAATGGGAGATGGGGAAAAGCATTGTGAAGTACAGTGAGTGTCCTCTGCAAATCAGCCATTTTTTCTCAGCAGTCTCCCCGGGATCTTTTTCACCTTAGTAGATCAATAGTACCAAAGAAAACAAAACAAAGTCCTCTGATTTGTGTCCTGGACAGCTCTACTTCCCCCAAAAGCGGAACTGTAGGGACTCTGGAATGAAGCATGACTGATAGAAATAGAACAGGCTGTTATGATGAAATCCCTGTAAGATGTAATTGAGAACCTCTCTGTTCTCTCATGCACAGAGCAACCTGGAGGGATATCCAGGCTCTGCAGTTTCACTGCAGGTCACTGATCAAAGGAACGAACTCTGAGAGTCCTTACTAAGAATATTTCCTGTATGAGTTGATTTCTCTGCAGGCCTCAAGTAGGAGAGGGCGGTGATCCAAAGAATCATTTGTAACTTTCTTGTCCAGTCTATTTGGCTGCTGTTTCTGAACCTCTTCTAGAATGATCACTCTCCATTGTTTTCATTTATTTCTGCATTGCTTTCACTTATTTCTGCTGAATCCCTGCCTGAAATACACTTCCAGTAGCTTATTGATTAGGGGGGTTTAGTGGAGAGTGTGGTAGCTTAGACCCCAGCCCATGCCTCGGTGTGTTTTCTTAATCTCTTGGTCTTTAACATGGCAAATAAGGTTGTTCTCTTGATATCCCTGAAGTGTGACTGAAGAGTCTGCATTAGAGGATGCAGCAGGCAGCAAGGAAGAGTCGAGCACCCATGGCCAAGCTGATGGTGAGTTGCTGAGCACTGTGATTTGCACGTTTAGGGCACGCCTTTCTGGAATTGCATTTAACTGTCGGCAACCGTAGATCCTGTGAGTCTCTTCGGAAATGCCCTCCTCTCCAGTCGTACAGGATGGGGAAAGGAGGAGAAAATGTAGGAACCAAATGCAAACATAGTCCCCTAAAAACTGTTCTGTTACTGTTGCCTAGCAAATGTAAATGATGGGAAGAGTTTCCCTCTTTAATAAGGATTTATATGGAGAAAGGTTTGTATGCTGGGCTTATGGCCAGCAGCACTGTGAGGAAAGCTCCCTGACTTCACCTGCTGCTTTCTTTTTTTCTGTCAGTGCTATTTTGATTTAAGACAGCTGAAAAGACTCTCTGTCCCTAGGTACAGACAATGTAAAGGAGTACGCAGCTGAAGATCTCTCTAAAGAGAGGAAATTCTCTGAGGAACCAAAAGCTCCTGAGGTAAGCAGACACCACTCCAAGCAGGCTGGGGTGCTGTAGAACATACAACCTCCCCCTCCATCCCGGAGATGCCTGTTGCCACTGGGAACCAGATGGCACCCACGTCTGGAGCTCTGTCTCCTGCTGTAAGCTGTCGTCCCTAGCAATAAGGCATAATATGTCTGCAATTAGTGCACAGTCTGCTCTGACTTGCTGCTTTTGTACCTCTGCTAGCCTGTACCTTCCCTACTGCTGCCTGTTTGTGGATGCTAGGCTCGGCTAAGAGTTCAGTGCTCATATGGAAAGAAGGAAAGTTGAATTGAAAAAGCCATTGAAAAACCTATGTATTAAAGGGACATAGCTAAAAATACACCTTTTGTTGCTGAAGAACAGACATAAGAAAATGGGGTGATGGTAGAAAAGATGCAGCTGCTGTGGGACTTGCCATCACAGCAGGCTTGAGCAGATAGTGAGAGTCTATGCTTCTGAAAGACATCTAGGAAAAACTGAGGTGAGTGAAGCCAGCAACCTGAGAGCCTTTTTTTTTCATGATTTACCTTGCCCACGTGCTAGACATTAAACCATCTCTTTTTACTGTGTAAATCCGTGAAAGCAGACAAGATTTAACCCATGGTGTGAGTCAGACTTGAGTCTTCCGTAACCGAAGACATTTGAGGCTTAAAAATGTGGTCAAATATATCATCCTGCCCATGTATGAGTTTTTTCCTCTGTCAGGTGTGGTTCTGAGTTGCCTTTTGTTCTGCAGGAAGGCATGAGCTGATAGTGTCCCTTACCAAGGGACCACCCAATATTGCTTGTTGCTCATCTCCAGTGACTGGATCACTGCAGTGTCTAGAGGCTGTAGAAACAGCCATCTGTACTAGTAGGCCTGCTACCATGACACAGGAACTGTTGATCTGGCAGTGCTGGGAGAAGGAGTGTATGTGAGTCTTTCTTATCAGCCTCCTGTGGATTCAAGCTTAAATGTACTTTCGTAAGGGACAGAGAGCTTAGGTCACATCTAAAAAACAGGTGTAATTTTTAGTGTCTTCTACTGAGATATTGGATTTAGTCTTGATTCTTTCTTTTGGCAGGTGTTGAGCTCTGGAGGTTCACTGAAAGTAACTATCCAGCAGAGCAGCGAGAGCAGAGCTATCAGTACAACAGCTCTGAAACCAGGGCACTGGACCTGCGAGGTGGGCACAGCTGACCCCAGCCCTGAATCGGTCCTTAAATTCTACTGTTATATCTGCAAGACCAACTGCTGCAGTCAGCAGGTATAAATCCGCAGGTCTGACTGGGGTGGACTGTCAAGAGAAATGAATTCGATGGCCAGCTGCCATGGGTGCAGCAGGAGGCTTGTTAGCCAGAGGAACAGAAAAAATGATGACAGGCGTGCAGATAAAGTAAACCTCTTCTGAGGAGCTGGCAGGCAACCTGCTAGGGAACGAATGTGGGTGGATCCACAGGCAGCCATGCTCTTAAGCTTTTATACCATTTCATTGTTATATAGCAGTCAAGAGAATGGAAAGCATAGCTCATACCTATTATTTGCTGTCTTTTGAATACATTTAAATGGATCTTTCTCCTAACCTTCTCTTAGAATTTCCAATCCCACATGGCTGGAATTCAGCACCAGCAGCGCCTTGGGGAGATTCAGCACATGAGCAACGTTTGTTTTGTTTCACTACTGCCTATGGTGAAGGAGCAGAAGTTGCTGGCAGAGAAAGATGGGTGAGTGTTGGTCTGAAGTAGAGAACACAACCTGAACAAGGACCTACACAAGTTTCAAAATTCCTCAGGGCACGAGGGTGCCTCTGTATTCTAGGATAATGTACAAACTCCTGTCTGGTTTCTGGTGCCTTAATCTGCTTCAGGCATCTTCCTTCCTTCTTTTTAAAGGATACCAGTGTGAATTTTGATAGAATAATAGATTCATTCAGATTGGAAAAGACCTCTAAGATCATCTAGTCCAACCTTTAACCTAGTACTAAAGTCTACCACTAAGCTCTAGATCTGCATGTTTCTTGAAAAATGTTTCTTCCAGGGATGGTGATTCAACCATTTCCCTGTTCAGCCTATTCCAATGCCACACAACCCTTTCAGTAAAGAAATTTCTCCTAATACCCAACCTAAACCTCCCCTGGCACAACTTGAGGCCATTTCCCCTCGTCTTACCACTTGGTGCTTGAGAGAAGAGCCAGATCCCCACCTCACCACAATCTCCTTTAAGGTAATTGTTAAGTACAATAAGATCTCTCCTGAGCCCTCTCTTCTCCGAGCTAAACAACCTTTGGAGAAAAGAAGGTGTTTTGGACCTGGTGTGCAGTTTTTGATAGAGCAGATCAAATTGGAGACTTGTTCTAACTGGTGCCTTTGTGTCAGCATGAGCTATGCCTGCGATGTAAGGGGCTGGGAAGGGGAGAAGATAAATCCAAGCCTGTGAAGATAGGAATGCTGAGGAAAATAAGGCTGAGAACAGTTTGCAAATTGCAGTACTCCATGGAGAGTGTAAAAAGGTGTGACTTACAGATATATCCATTGTCACTTCAGAGAGACCCAGCAGCGGTGGTGTAACACTTGTCAGATACACTTCACCGGGGATCTTATCAAACATCGCAGGACCCAGGAACACAAGGTAATAGCCATGTCATCTTTGTACTGATCTTTTGTGGGGATTGAGTGGAAGTGTCTAGCAGCTCCTGCTCCCCAGGCAGCAAGGGAGAGGTGATTGGAGTGGAGAAATGCACAGAAAGTTCTGCCAGTAACACTCTCGCTGTCTGAAGGCACTACTGTGCTACCTGCTGCCTGTGAACACCAGTATGGGCTGAACTTCCAGTTACCGTGCTGTGTCAGTATTAGAGGTGCTTCAGGTGGTTTTGATTCTTGACTTTTCTGAATAAATATTCAGAAAGGACCTACTGTTTTTACCTAATCAGTTTTCAAGCTAAAATTTAGGCAGGTCACTGTATTTATTATGTGTGTATTCGTTGGCTCCTAGGGAAAAAATTCCACAACACCTCTTACAAAACACATTTTGCTCTGCATATTTTCCACTGTTTTGGCAGGTAGGAGCTAGCAAGCCCTTTTTCTTGAAAATAAGACGCTTTTTTATGGTCTCCCCGTTTTAGATGCAGGTCTGTGTGTCTGTTGCCAAAGATTTATCTGCATTTCTTCAGTGGCTTCTCGTGACTTACTAGATCTTCTCATTCTTCTTTCCATAGCTGGCCAAACGCTCTCTTCGTCCTTTCTGTACTGTCTGCAGCCGCCACTTCAAGACCCCTCGCAAGTTTGTGGAACATATGAAATCCCCTGAGCACAAACAGAAAGCCAAAGAGGTAATACTGCCTGAGTGGAGAGCTGTGCAACATTGGAGGTAGCTAAGCTACAGAGCAGGTTAACTTTCAGCTTCTCAGACTACTGCAGGGATGAAAAGAAGGCATGCAGTTCTTCGAACCCTGTTTTCAGTTTTAATCTTTGTCTGGATTCCAATTGTCAGAGCTTAAAGAAATTAAGTGAGAAAGGGGCAAGGTGTTGGGCTTGTCTGCAAACAAGACAGTTCAGTGCCTCTCTTGCAGTCCCATCCAGTCTGTGCAGAGCCTAGGGTCTTCCTTGGTTAGGTGGAGAGTGCAGAGTTGATCTGTCTTTTCTGTACCTGACAGGTGAGAATGGGAGAAAAGGAGTTGGGCAGCCCAGAAGATTCAGAGGAGTTGATCACAGTGGATGCTGTTGGCTGTTTTGAAGATGATGAGGAGGAGGAGGAAGAGGAAGGAATTGGTGAGGATGAAGATGACCTTGATGTAGTGCTGGTAGAGAATGAGGATTCTGCTGCCAAGCAGGTATGCCATGCAAATGGAGAAGGACTGATCTATCTGAGAATCTGCGGTGGGCTCCTGTGACTTATTCGGTCTTGTCTGCTTGAGCTCAGGGGTTAGAGAGTCTAGTCAACCTTGCACCCTACAGCAGGAGGGTGAGGGCCCTGGACAGAGCACAGGACAGTGCTAGAGGAGAATTGGGCACGATGGATGGGATGCAGAAGGGTGTTTCTGCTGTGCTGTACAGCTCCTACTGGTGCCTTCAAACATTACCTTGTTGTTGAGGAGCATAAGCGATGTGTTTTTAAGGGAACAAATTTCTGTCAAAGACGTTGACATAGTCTCTTTGAATAGCCCAGCAGCAGCTTGGTCTCATAGCAAACATATGTGTGGAGGTTTATCTTGATAAATACCATTTTCCCAGTAGAGAGCTGTTACCAAGAGGAGGAACATGGCTAAGCTACTTCAGACTTTGATGTGTAAGGGGTGTTTTTAACCCTTGCTGATAAAATGGCCTCCTGACATTGGGGTTTGTATCTGGCCCTAAGCATGTGCTGTGCAACTCCGTCTCTGGTGTGTGAATCATCTGTTTTACTCCCAAGCTTACCAGAAAAATGTAAGGTCCCGAGAAGGGAACTGGCATAAATATTGGCTAGGCACTAACGTTCTTTTGGTTTCCAGACTGGGCTGAAGGAAGTGTCTTTGGAGGATTACGAAGGAAGTGAGAAGTATTGTCCAGACACAGCCTATGGTAAGCGAGCACAGTTGAACACTAAGGCCCACAGAGCTTTCTACGGCCGCATGCTGTAACTGTAAGGGAGGATGGTCTCTGTCCACTGCTGTAATGAGTTCTTCGGCCATATTGCTTCAGCATCTGCATCAGACTGGTGCAGGTCACTGCTGCCTGGAGACAATACCAAGTTGCTCTCTTGTACTGTGATAAAATGTAAGGATGTGATCGACGTTTGTCAGCTGTCTTTCCCTTTGAGGAAGAAAGGGTGAGAGCCAGATACCTCAACAAGGCAGGAAATGGAGCAAATAGGGTAGGCGAATAAGCAAGGTGGCAAACAAGGGATGCTCTGGAAAGATGGAGCCTGAAAGCGTATTGATTAGAACGCTTTCCAGCACAAATGCAGCTTGTACAGAGATACTGAGCAGTACTGACAGTATCGAGCTCTCTGCCAGAGCCCAAACTGTGCATGTTTCCTCTGCTTGAGAACCCCCACGCTCTACCTAGTGGTTATTCAGACACGTTGCTGGACTGGTGGGCAGCGTTGCCTCCAGATGGCTGTGTCTTGTCCCCACCCTGTAAGCAATTCTGACTTCAAACCTCTAACGGCCACTTGTGTTGCAAAGAGGGCAGCTCTGCAGAGGCTGTTTTGTGCCCAAGGAGAGCGCTGTTTACACCAATCTTCCATATCGCTGTAACCTTCCACTATCGTGTGGCAGATGGAATAATGATTCATGCTGTGAATGTTCTCTGCGTGTTCCTCTTGCGCGCCTGCTGTCTTCTGCTTGGTTTGATCCCATTACATTAGATCACATGTTCTCTGTAGTTTTCCATTGTATTCTTTTTTCTTTTTTTCCCCTTAATGCTCTGTGTAGTTTCTTTGCTCTGGCAGCCAGATTTCTCTCTGAATATCAAGCACACAGCCATTCCATGGTAAGACAAGATATTCAGCAAGTCATCTTGCAAAACCCCTGATTAACAGAAGCAAAGCTTTCCAATTTTCCTTCTTCTTCTCCCCTCCCCTCCTTTAATTTCCCTTTTAACATACTTTCATTATTTTGAGTTCCATTCAATGTGATCTGTGATTTCCCTTCCCCTCCCGTTTCGCAGGCCTGGATTTTCTGGTCCCCGTCGCAGGTTACCTCTGCAGGCTGTGTCACAAATTCTACCATAGCGACTCTGCTGCCCGGCTCGCACACTGCAAGTCCCTGATGCATTTTGAGAACTTTCAGGTTAGACCCTTTGGCGATTGCATGGCCTGGCATTTGTTACCCCTGTGCGTGTCTCTTCAGTGAATCCACCACATTAGCTGTCTTGTCCTCAGCTCATTTCCATCATCCTTGGTGTCTGTTGTGCCACAGCTTTCTCCTGGTGTGCTCTGTGCTTGTCTCCCATTCACCCCTTTAGATCTAAAACCAGTCCAGTCCTGTTTTCCTAGCTACTGCTGCTGTCATCTTGTTGCCCGTTTCTGGCTGGAAATCTTCCTCAGAGTGTCTGCTCTGTTTGCTGAACCTGTGGAGTTTGTTGTTGAGTCTAGGCCTCCTCTTTTCCTTGTTAGACAGATTACAGGTGGGTCAAAATGGGGAAAGAACAAGACAGAAAGAGGCTGCTCATTTTAAAGAAGGTTGATGCATGTGCATCTTTTCATGGAATACTGCAGTGACTACAGAAACAGCTCCTTTAGCCAAAATTAAAGGTGATTCATCCATGAAGGGGCATGGTAAAATCAGATATTCACCTTAGAAATCTGGAAATTGAGCATCACAGCACACCGTGATGGAAGCTACAACAGTCTGTTTGGTCCCCAGGGTCAGCTTGCAGCAGGAAGTCAGTCGGTCTGTCTGCTACACCTTCCTAGAAAACTCCTTAGCACAAAGCTCTGCCAGCTGATGCTGTTCCTTAGGCTCCACCTAAAGATGCAGCATTGCCCCTTGCTGCTTTCGTATCTAGAAGCTTTCCCTACTGGGCTGGCCTGGAACCTGCCTCTGTTGTTCTGTCCTTGTTGACATGCTAGGGGCCTGGATTAGTTCCTCGTGGGAGCTATGCAGGACTTGCACTGCCTCTGCCCTCTCCCTTTGGTGACCACTGCCTGCGTAGCAGAGCAGCATTCCCTGACTCTGGAAAGAGGGAAGGTTCCCATACTGACCATGTCCTCTGCCAGTACCCAAAAGCTGTTTCCCTACCACAGATGTATCCAGCTGTTGCTGCATCTTAGTGTTTTTCTGCTAGTTGTCAGAGAAGTTAACTATTCCCCATCAACCACTGTGGCAATCAGCAGGGGTGGGGTTGCTGCAGAAGCCAACATTTAGAGCTGTGGATTTGGAAAGGCAAGTAGCAAGAGAACACTACAGCTGTTCCTTGAGGGTTGCTCATCCTCTCCCACCCCTGCAGCTAGTCATTTCTGGAATGAAGGAGTTGGCCTTGCAGCTTTCCTGGCTTATTTTAGATCGGCATAGAGTGAAACTGCAGCAGCAGCGTGTATGCCTCCCTTCTGGCCCATTTAAAAGCTGAAATCAGACGCTTTTCAAATGGACACCGGAGTGACCTGGAGGGATTATTTGTGGCAGAAGTCCAGCCTTCAATATCTGCAGGCAGATAGCTAGTCTGCTTGGCTGCATCACAGTGAGTTAAATCATTTCCAATTTCTGGAGTATTCTCATCAGAGTAGGCTAACAAAGGATTTCAAAGCAGAGAATTGTCTGCTGTGAGGCAGTTTACGGCATCGCTGTGAAAACAAACTGGCACACTTGCCCTTGATTACATTTGGGTACAACATTTGACTTGACTGATCTAGCTCCATTGCATTATAATATTACACGTATTCCACTATTTGAGAACAGGGAAAGAACAAACCTGCGACGATACACGAAATGAAAATGTAAAGCTGCCTGCCTGGCGTGCTGTAATTTCACACTGCAGACTACAGAGCGCTGCTTAGACTGGTGAAAGCCAACGTGCTCAAAATAATTTTGTGAAATTGTCAGGTGTAATGCTAGTGCAAGTTCAAGGGACCTTTCAGCAGAAAGCTGACAGCTATTTGGTGGGGGGAGCTGCTGCGGAAAGGGAGCTTTGTTTCATTCCCTTAGCTCATGCTGTGTCTGGGACTTGGAAGACCAGATTCCTGCTGCATGTTAGCTAGCTACAGAGAGTCACTGCTTTTCAGAAAACCAGGCTTGAAAATGGCTAGTAGCCATCTCAGTCTCTTTACAGACCTCTACTGGCTCACCCCGGTAGCTAGCGTCGAGTCATTTTACTGTCAACATGCTTACCTTTATTCTGTAGACAACTTCAGTACCTTGTAACAAGAGGATATTCTTGGTATCTTAGTGTTCCTACCAACAATTTCACTGATAGCAGAGATTGTATCAGCAGAATGAAAACTCGTAAGCTTTCAGCTTAAGTCTTGCTGTGGCTGTTGACCATGAAACCGCTCCAGTCTAGGTCAGGGCAGCGCGTAGCCTCATGGAGCTGGGGTACATGCCATTAGCTGGAGCAAGAGCTGTCACTTGCACTATCGTTATCTACCAAGTCCTGAGTCTGACTGATATTAACAGTTACCAAAACGTTATTTTTGTCTCAGGAGCCACACGTGTGCCATGCAGTCACTCAGCATTTAGTCATGAAGTTTTTAATATCACCACTTTTTCTGACAGGAGCTGACCCTTCTCTGCTTGAAAGCCTCAGCAGCCAGGCCAGGAGAGCTGCTGAGACAGGGTGTGCCCCTGCAGATCCTAGCTGTCACTCACCATTGTTTTTGTACAGGTTTTCCTGGACCAGCTTCTCGCTGCAGGGACAGTGGCTGGGCTGGGCTCGTCTCTCACGTTGGTTTATTTATGTTTACAGAGATACAAGGCAGCAAGGCATCGTGCCACAGCTGCCTACCCCGAGGCTCCTTTGCATTCCCAGGGCTCCAGCTCCCAATTGCTGGATGATCAGAAACAGCCTCCTGCTACAGCAGTAGATACCGGCAAGAAGACGAATGCTGATCATGGGCTAGACAAGGAGGGTACAGAGCTGTCAGCACCGCAAGAACAAACTTCAAGGTGTCCAGAGGGTGAGGGTGAGCTGGCCACCTCTGTAGCAGAGGGCAAAAGCCTCGCCAGCATGACTGATGACACGTGTGGAATCGCGGTTGTAGAAGAAGAAAACCTGCAGGAGGAGAGCAAGTCCGCTACCACTAGTGCCCATTTCCCACCCCCTGAAGAGACCAGCGCCGCGGGGGAGTTGTTGGGACATGCTGCGTCTGAGGAGGAGGAAGACAATGCAGCCGGGCAAAGGGAAGGCACAGACAACTGCCAGGATCCAGGGAGCGAAGGGGGGTTAGGACAGAAAGAGGCAACACACGCAGGTCAGGAGGCAGCAGCAGAGCCTTCCTCCCTAGCCAAAGGTGAGGCAGCCAGTCTTACCTCTGCTGGGTGCAGACGCTCTTCTAGGCGCAAACCCAGATAGAGTGGCCTTAAAGGGAGAGCCCTTTACATATGATATTTGCTGGAAATGTTTATTTTCGGAGTCTTTTAATAGAGCAAAACCTTCAACTTTACTGCTGTTTTTATTTTAAGAATAAAATAAGCCTGGCTTTAGCGTGTCTAATACGGGATGGTGTTGATTATTACTTGTATAGTTGGGATACTACAATTACATGGAAAGACTGAGGCTTGGATTGTTGAACCTAAAAGAAGAAAGTAATGTGATTTTTCTTTTTTTCATAGGGGGATATGGCTCATGAAGTAGATGGATACAGATTTTTTTTTTCCACTAAGAATCGTTTGTAGTTCCTCTCTGCTTCCTTTCCAGGCAGAGAAGTGTATTTCTTGGGAGGCTGTGCGTGCCCAATTCTGCTCCTCAGAAGGGTTTTCTTTCACAGATGCGCACTCTTGGACCAGCACTGTGTCCTAAGCTAGGCAAGAATGTACATCTCGGTCATTTGTTAATACTACAAGGCTTAATACAGTCTGTTCTCATAGCGGAGACTCAGGAACAAATTTTGTTTCAAACTGATTTTAATAAAACAGATTTCTTATAACTTCTTTAACTTTCAAAAACCTCTTTTAACTCTACAGAAGTAGAACAGTAAGACTTGCTTCACTGTGCTGGCTCCAGGCCATCCGGACACGATCGCAAAGTCTCAAACCAGAATGCTCACAAAGTACTCCTGTCAAAATGTACAGGCAGGGCTCTGCCCCCATCCCACGGCAGGCAGAGCCCCGTCTCTTTGTTCCCAAAGCTGATGCTGCAGTGGGGACTAACCCTGCTGCTCTGGCTCTAAAGCCCAAGTCCTTAATGGCAGCTCAAGGAGTTAGGCAGCTTCCAATTAAATTAAGCATCAAAAACATCACCCCAGTAGCTTATCTGCTTGGAAGGGGATAGAAAAGTGCAGTTATCTGGGACTGTCTGACAATATTTCTTACACTGAATAACGGGGAAGCTGTAGTTGAAGGCAGGAGATGGCCTAGGGCTCCTGTCTGTGCCAGATTACCCCTAGGGGCGAGTCTGGAGTCAGGACAGCCCCTGCCTACTGTGCTCTGTGAGGGAAGAGACTAGAGCCATAACGTTCCTCGCTCGGATGCAACAGCGCAAAACACCAGAGATCATTTTTCCTCTTTGTGACAAGAGCTTGCTTGCAACCAACCTGCATGGCATCAGGCTTCCTACAACCAGCTTTAACCGAGTGGCAGTGCCGGGGGGAGAAAAGAACCACGCTCCTACACCCACCTGCGTGCTTCTGCACCTGTTACCCAGCTAAAGGAAAACAGAACGTGGAGGCGAATGGCAGGACACTACCACGGGAAGGAACAAGTAATGGGCAGAAGGAACCTCATCTATTCAACTTTTATGTGAAACCAGTGACCGGTAAATGTCCTTAGAGATGGAAAGTGTGGGGCCAGCCCACTAGACAGGAGGCTGTGGTCCCTGCATGTCAGCTTCCATGTTCTGCTGCTCGCTCTGCTGCTGGAACTCCAGGCGGGTCTGGCGGTTGGACTCCAGCAGTTCCTTCAAGCAGGCGTGTAGATAATCATTCTTCTCCTCCAGGTGATCCAAGCAGGAGTTGATCTGGTCCAGCATGGAGTTTATTGCTGCATATTCTAAAAGGAAGGGAAATAAGAGACTGAACGATGCAAGTACGTTGTCGCTGCAGTCGGTGAAAGCAGTAAAAGCTTTTGCAAAACGTGCCCACAGCATTTTGGTTCTTATCTGCCCCTGGGTGGGTCAAGTACGATGCAACTGAATCCTCCAGGTATTGAATTCACTGGTCAAATGAAACCAACGGGAAGCTGGAGAACTGGTAACAAGATCAAAGGCACGTTACCTGTAAGCAGCCCAGACCCGTTCTGGGCATAGCTGACAGCCTTTGATCTCGTGCATAAACAGCTGAGCCCCATCTGCCTGCTAGTATGTGGTGATCCGCACTGCAACGGGACCAAATAAATCCCAAGGATGAGTTAGCCTTTATAGCTGCCCTAGGGCTCATCTTTCCTGATGAGGATGCTGGCACGCTGGCAGTGCGCCCAAGTGTTTACATTCTGTAAATTACTTGTCTAAGGTTCCCAGGCTGGGATGTGACTCAGGAGGGCCTGGGTGGGTTCACACTGCCAGAACATCACTGCCACTGCGGCGGCAGGAGCAGGGCCGAGCCCCAGGGGTGCTGGTAGTGCCACCATCCTTTCCAAAGGGAGGTAAGTGTGAAGCACCACGTCCAACCGCAGCGTTTTCACACCCCATTAAAGCTTTGGGTAATTTGAGTTAAAACCAAACTAATTCAAAGTAATCCTAATAGATGGGTTTCTTGTTAGTTTCTTATTTAAAACATTTGTTTCAAGTGCAAAAGCGTTAGTTTCGGTACAGTGGCATTTCACAGTGACGCATATGAACACCGCTCATCAGCTGACAGCCTGTGCTGCTGCCATGAAACCCTTGCTTTCGGATTGTGCCAAGCACTACTCACACAGTCCTAGAGAACACCCAAAAGCCAAACTGGAAAACCAGCTGAGATAAAACCTCTGCTGACACATTACTTAGGAACTGCCAATTTAGCACTGGCTGAAACCCTGGCTTGCAGGGGCCCCCGGTTCTGTTCCTTCCTGAAACTGCACAGGCTGAGTGAACGCAGGGAGGCAGGCGGCAAGCTGCGACCCAGGGGGGTGAGGTTTGTGAGGATCGTGGGCAGGGCGCAGGGAAGGAGGCCTGCGTGGGTGGGACAAGCCCACAGCTCACCGCCTGGCGCTGGCTCTTCTCTCTGAGCAGCTGGGAGAGCACCAGAGCCAAGCATGACCCACGCAGCACCTAGCTGGAGCGGTGCTCTGAGCCAACAAGGAATACAGAGAAGGGGAAGCAAGCTCCTAGGGATGAAGGTGAAGCCGTGCTGAAATCCCCCAGCCTCACGAGCCCAGCTTTGCCCCACTCAGCTGCTGAGCCCAGGCACTTCATACAGGCAGGGTGCCCAGAGCCCAGCACAGCAAGCTCAGGCGCTGCCAGTGCCAGCAGGACACTGGGTGTTCCTGGGAGGCAGAGGGGTGATGCCAGGGAGAGCCCACGCTGCAGCTCGGGGCGTGTTTAGGGTGGTGAACACAGGGCAGTGGGACTCTGCATCAGCACCCCATGGCGCTGCTGGCCCCAGGCCCCCAAATGTCCCTGAGTAACACAGCTCCTGAGCTCAGTGCAGGATTTGATCTGCGTGTGGTGCTCCCTGTTCCAATTAACAAGATGCCGAGCAGATACAACAGCTCATTCTGACAACTAACATTATTCACCAGCTTGGGCAAGAAGGCTGTAATCACAGCAGGAACCTAATTACTCTCAGTGCCTAGAGCTTTAGAAAAGGCCATTTAAGTTGTGCTGCTCTCGGAAGTGGGAAAAAAAAAAGTAAAAACATTTTATTTGATTGACTTCTGCTAGTTGCATGCTTTGTTTAAGGAAAATTAGCCACCTCCTCTAATGAAGGTGTTGACCAGGAGTATGGCTATTCACGTTGTTTCCTGCTCTGCATTATAACAGGAACAGTTACCAAAAACCAACCACGATCCCTATTTAAGGTCACAGAAGTGATCCACAGCCTCAGCACAACTGAACCAGGAAATATCTACAGATCTTTATGACCAGCTACAGCACACAAAACCCCAGTGGTGATAAGCCAGCAGAACACTTAATGGAGAGGCTGGATGCGGATCAGATTTGGTGCCTGTCTCCACCACATCTACTCACAAATCACTGGGGGATGATGCAGAGCAGTGACAGCTCTCGGGGTATCACAGCTCAGAAACGACCTCCTGTCAGTGCAGGAGGGTCCCAGCCACAACTAGGAGGTTCACCGATGCAGGTCTCATCTGGAAACCAAAGGGTCTTTTGGGAATCACAATGTCAGGGATTGGAAGGGACCTCGATAGATCATCTCATCCCATCTGTCAGAGCGGGATCACCTCCATCAGGTCACACAGGAACACATCCAGGTTGGGTTCTGAATGTCTCCAGAGCAGGTGACCCCACAGCCTCTTTGGGAATCCTGTCCCAGAGCCCTGTCACCCCCACCGTCAGGAATTTTCTTCCCACATTTCAGCAGAACCTCCAATATCCCAGCTTGTACCCCTTGTCTGGGAGAGCAACACTCAGCCCTTCACCATTTTTAACAGCGGCAATGTGCCCTTGAAAGGCTTCCTCCTCCCTCCTCCTCCTCACCTTCCTCCCCGAAGCCGTCCCCGTCCCCGTCCCCGTCCCCAGCCCCGTCCTCGCCGTCCCGCCCCGGGGGGCCCAGCGGTGCGGGCGGCTCCGCGTTGGGTCCCGCCATGGCCGCGCTGCCATGCCCGGGGGCGGGGCGGCCGGCGGCCAATGGGAGCGCTGCGTTCCCCCCGCATCACGCCAGGAGCCGGGTAAAGTTTGTGGTTAGCGTTGTGCGGGCTGGGTGGGGTGGACGGGGCGGGCACCTAGCGGGGAGGTCTCCCCTCGAACGCTGTGTGCGGTTTTTGTGCTTTTTTCCCTGGGTGTTTTCCCCAAATGAACTTCCAGCGTGAAGCTGTTGCCTCGCCTTGCAGTGTCTTCGCGCCCTCAAGGTCTTCCAATCCATAACCACCGCAAAATGCATTTGAACGCAAAATAAAGTTGGTCTCTGGGACCACCATCACCATCCCGTGATTTTTTTCCCCCAAGAAAACTTATTATTTGTGTGATCAGGCCTGCACCTCCTGCAGACAGAGCGTCTCGCAGTGCCGTGGCTGCAGCAGACAGATGCCAGTGCTGCTGAGCTCCCCGCTGCAGCCGTGCACCCTGCTCCTGTCACCGGTTCTGCGTGGCTGCTGGGCGGTTCGCACCAGCCCCGGGTCACCTTTGCATCTCCTCTGCCCCAAAAGCACGAGCTCGCTTTGTCTTTCCTTGTCCTTGACACGCTACCCATCGTACTTCACGCAGCCTCAGGAAATCTAATCACTGGAGAAATTTTTCATCCCCGGGAGAGATGTCACTGGGATGGAAATAACTCGGAATTAGAGCATTAAGTTAAACAGCTCAAGCCCAGTTCGAAGACTCTGTAATTAAGTGGGTATCTGGGGTGAAGAAGAAAGATAAGGTTATGTCCTCATTTGACATCACAGCCGGCTCTTTTCCTTTCTGTAGAGGCACCCATGCCAAGCTGGGCCCCGTGCTGTGCCCAAGGCAGGGGAACTGCACGTTAATATAATGAATACTGTGACTGTAATGGAAAACGGGATGACCCACAATGTAAAGCGTTGCGTTTGCACTGCGGGTACCTGCAGGTCACAGACAGCAACCCCGCCGGGCAGAACACGCCCTCAGAGGACACATTATTTCACTTCCACCTTATAATTTGGCGTCTTCTCAGCGAGCCCGGATTAAATAATTACCGCTAGGAAACCGGGCCGCGTCGCTGCACCACCACCAAGTCCCTAAGCACTCACACAAACCCCCCTCGCCCGCTTGGGGCGGCTTTGAACCTGGCTCCTTTTTCGCCTCCCTTTTACCTCAGCGCGGCGGCCGCCATTTTGTGGGCGGGGAGGCGCCGCGGGGCGGCCGCTCGCAGCCCCCCGCCCCTGCGCGCCGTGCCCGCAAGATGGCGGCTGCCGGCCGGGCCTGGCGGGCGGCTCTGCTGCTGTCCCCTTGGCGGCTGCGGGCCCCGTGCCGAGCCTACGGCGCTGCGGCGGGGGTTGGCGGCGGCTGTGGTGGTCGCCGCTTGCTCTTGAGTGCTGCCTTCGCTCTGGGCGGCGGCACTGGTCTCTACCTGGCGGCCCAGCACCGCCTGCGGGAGCACTCGGCCGCTGAGGTAACGCGCCGCCGGGCCCGCTCGGTGCCTGAGGCGGGTCTCGCCTCCCCTCCGCCGCGCTGCCTGGCCTCGAGGCCGGCCCCGAAGCTTTATCCCCTTTATCCCCTTCCTTTGCCTCCTCGCCTCCCCCGAGGCCAGGGCCTGGCGGCGGGGAGCCTCCCGGGGCCCGGGGGAGACACCTTCAGGGGGGCGCGGAGCGGGTTCTGCCGTCTCTGAGGACCACACGGCCGCTTTTGCTCAGTTTTCAGTCAGGAAACCGCTTAAAAATGTGTAAATATTTTTTACAGCCGCGCTCTTCCTGAGTGGTTGTACAAAGTGCCTGTCAGAACTGAGAGCTCGCGGCTTGTGAAGCTGCATTCTCTGTTAGATAATTGTTGCTTTTTGCCAGCACCCACGGAGGGTTGTGTAACCAAATGGGTTGCAAATAAGCAGCAGAGCGAGATGGCTGCGTTTGTTTTATAATGTATGACTGCCGGCCAGCACGTGTCAGGTTGCTGAAGTACCAGCAGCGTTGGGAACCCTCCCTGCTGCGATGCTTCGCTGGCAGTGTGACCCTGGGCTCTGCTCTCTGAGCTGAGCACAGGTTGGTTAATCCCAGGACACTGAAGTTAGGCCAATGCATGCCTAAAATCTTTATGTTCCAGCAGATTTTATGTCTGTGTTTCTATAATCAATTGTGGTATAGTACTGCCACCCCTTGCTGTAGTGTGATCAACAGCAAAGTCTTTTTGTTCTTCCTATGCCGTGCACTCCACAGAGATTGTTGGGCAGGGGAGGAATTGAATTGAAAAGGCTTCTTTTTTTTTTTTTTTTTTAAAGACCATTAAATACAATTGTGATTTTCCTCGGTTACAGAGTTTTGTGCAGAGCAGTAAGCTGTCTGGATCTGACTTCTTTTTCTTGTCTGTGAGTAGGAGCTTTCAACAGGTTAAGCAGATGTTTAGAAAAACGGGTATTTGGTCCCTATAGCAGGTGATTTGTGATGTCATTTGAAGAAAGCATCTGTTAGCAGAAAGATTTTAATCACCAGAAGTTGAAATTCAATGTCAATGACTAAGACTATAACAAAAATAAGGGTTAAATAAAGATAATGTTTCTATTTAATGGAAAATGAAGGCTTGTGGTCTCTTCCTTCCCCAGCTGCCTACAGGGGACCTGCAGCTTACTCTCTACCAATATAAAACATGCCCTTTCTGCAGTAAAGTCCGAGCTTTTCTTGATTATCATGGACTGCCCTATGAAATTGTGGAAGTGAACCCGATAATGAGGAAAGAAATCAAATTCTCTTCCTACAGAAAGGTGCCTATCCTGCTAGCCAATGCTGGAAGCACTCTGGTAAGTCTTACCGTGCTGAAAGCTTGATTTCCCCATAAGCAGTGGTTTAGAGGTTTTTATCTCTCTGTGCTTTGCCACATGCAGTATAATCTTTAAATCATATTTTGTTCTCTCAAGAGCTTAAGATTTGTGTGTTGCTTTGTGGTATCCTCTGCCCTGGTCTTACTAGAGTTTAAGTCTTTCTTCCAAAGTGTGTTGTTTTGTGTAGTGACTCTGTAATCCAGTACTTGTCTGGATTCTTTCAGCCCTAAAGGAGGACACCTTTTTTTGCCTGAAGTAAAAAGAATGGCTTGTATCTTATGAGATCTCAAGATTACTGACAATTCGACTATCTGTGGCTTTTTTAATGAGAGCATTGCTTTTCTATTTGCTGCAAAGAGCCTAAATCCAAAACCTGCTAGTATTGCCTGAGTACCTGGCCCTTAGGTCGTCTCTTGTCACAGTGAAGGACAAATTTGAAATGATACTCAAATGATCACTGCAGAGATCTGTGTGTAGGGCTTTAGACTTGCAGGGTGGCCAGTGGAAATGCATGAAGGGAAAAAGGGACTGTGGTACTAACTTGGGACTTCAGCATGCAGGACAAAAGGTTTTGAAGGATTTCCATTTTGATTTCACCAGTTCCTTTTAAAAGTTTGTCTTAATTCTGTTTTTCAGCAATTGAATGACTCTTCAGTGATCATCAGTGCAATAAAGACCTATCTCATTTCCAAGTAAGAAAATGGGATGGGGGAAGAGTTGAACGTGACTATCTTTAGAAAACTGGAGCTTTAGAAGACTCTTTGAATCAGTTGTTAGTGTCTTGCTGACCTTAGCCTCTGAAGCTATGGACGTTTGGCCAGGGACTGACTTGGCTGTGATGGAGTAAATGATGCATGTATGTGTTGGGATATGTGTGCAGTGACACACATCTGCATTTCAGAACTACTCTTTTTCACCTGTGAAATTCTCTTTGCATAAAACCTGCTTAAATGTGGACTAGAGGTAGTTCTGGAACTAAGCTTACATTTAGCCATACCATCTAGAGTGAAATTGCTGTACCTGTGTCCTTTGGATCCATACTAAAAACATTTGACAATTGTAAGAAGCTCTATGTCTGCAAAAACTTCCAGTCTGGCACAGAAAAGTAATGTATGCTGATAGTGGTTATTTGGAAGTAGCTGTTCCAGCTAGTTTCAAATTGGAAAGCTCATGCACTTACCTTTAGACTAATAGGTCAAATCTTTTGATTTCTTCTTTGCTCTTGCCCATTTTTGTAGCAGCCAAATCAGATGTGAACTGTGTTTCTTTCCACAGGAGGAATAGCTTAGAAGAGATTGTGTCCTTTTATCCTCCTATGAAAACTGTGACTGATCAAGGCAAGGAGGTATTCGAGTATGGGAATAAATACTGGCTCATGCTGGATGAGAAGGAGACAAAGCGAGTCTATCCTGTCAAAGAAGTGAGAGTGTAAGTGCTTTAAGTTTCTGGGTCCTCAAAGTCAGCTTACAGCCTACTACTCCTAGATATCCTCAGGGGCGGTGCATACATAAAGTCCTGTGGGTACTGATTATTCCTTTTAGCACCCCATTGACGTTTAAAACCTTGGTAGCTGTGGTGTTTCGATGTGTATTTTGCATAATTTGAAACTATGTTGTCAGAAGGTCTAGTTCCCCCCCATTGTGGTCACACTAGCCTTCAGTTGCTTCCAGTTTCCTTCTTGGCCTTTCCTTTATGTCACAGAGGAATGCTGTGGAGTGCTCGTTTCCCAAGGCTGTATGTTCTGCTTTAGTTCTCGTATTGGGAGGAGGAACTAGTGCTCTGTCTTTAGTCTTAATTTTAGATTGAGACTGAAGGAGCCTTGCCAAAGTTAATGCTTCTGAGTGCATTTCAGAGAGGTCACCAGAGCACACGGCTGGGTGGGATTTTGACGTTACTTGTCCTTGGTACAAACTCTGTCTAATGTCACCATGATTCTATCTGCCTCCTGTAGCCCTGCAATCTCTACCTTATTCACTGAAAAATCTCTCTCTTTTGAATGCCTGCAGGGAAGAAATGAAGTGGAGAAAATGGGCCGATGATTGGCTTGTTCACCTCATCTCCCCCAATGTCTACCGTACCCCAAGGGAAGCCTTCGCGTCTTTCGATTACATCGTCCGTGAGGGGAAGTTTGGCACCGTGGAAGGTTTCTTTGCCAAGTACATGGGGGCCATTGCCATGTTCTTCATTAGCAAGAGACTGAAGAAAAGGTTGGTACCACTGAATGCCAAGTACACAGGAATAGCTCCTTAATTGTCTCAGCTATGAACTCCAGAGATCAAAGGGCAGAAGCTCAGTATTTTAAACCAAACCGTTTCATGCGGTGCGAGTAATAGCTGTACTCCTTTACCCAGCGGTACTGAACCTCTCTACTCATCTACTGTTTACTCACTGGCTGTTCCCTTCACCTTAAAATACCTTCCTAATTCCCCAGCCCGTAAGATTAGAAACGATGAAAGGTTAAAGAAAGAAAGATACTGGTGCCTTCAGGCTGGTTCTTTTCTTTATTTAGACATAACCTTCGAGACGATGTCCGACAAGACTTGTACGAAGCAGTTGACGAGTGGGTAAAAGCCATCGGCAAACATCGACTGTTCATGGGCGGAAACCAGCCGAACCTTGCGGACTTGGTAAGGGATTAATTCCTCTATCTGTAGCGACCTATATTGCAAGTTGGTTGCTGATCCTCGTGAAATGGTGAATACTAACATAGGCAGAGAAGGCGAAGGATGTGAGACATATGTCCTTTGTGCAGTAACACAATTCCCATGTGAAAGGGACTTAGAATACTTGTGTTAAAATAGGACATTTGTTGTTTTCCTCTAGAGAAACATTCCTTAAGGCAGAGTCTGCAGTACCCTTCTGCAGGTAGATGTTACAGATCTTGTGGAAGCGTGATAAAAGCAGGTTACAAGGCAGAATGCTGCTCTGACTAGTGAGCACTGAACAGAGCCTCACACCTGCACAGGTTTTATTACACTCAGTGCTGCTGGGGTGTCTCTGCAGGCAGCAGAGAGTGGAGCATGATTCATTCCCTGCATCAGCAGTTCTCCCTGGAATGCAAGTGAAGCATTTTCTACCAGGGCTTGCTGCCGAGATGGGATTAACTGTTGCCCCATAACTGCATGTAGATTCTTGTGTTTACTTACCATTTCCTCATGGAAAAAGCATGCGCTTTCTTACTACCTTTCTGCCCACTCAGTCTTCCTTACTAATCAGAGTTACGGACTAGATGGCAGAGCAGATAAAAAGGCCTTACTGTCTAGGCTATCGAGGCACTCTCATTGTTACCCGAAGCTTTTTTCCACCACTGACTTTCTCAGTGTTGTTCTAATCTTCATCCTCTGGCACAGGCAGTATATGGGGTCCTCCGAGTCATGGAAGGGCTGGAAGCCTTTGACGACATGATGGTTCACACCAAGATTCAGCCTTGGTACCAGCGCATGGAAGAAGTCATTCAAAAAGCTGAAGTTGCAGTCTGATGCCAGCTTCAGCTGCCTTTCTGAAGTACTTGCATGGATAAAGCTTCAGAAGGAATGACCTTGTATTTTTTAAAGAGTTGAACGGGCTGGTCACACCTAATGGACTGACGCGCAGGTACAGAGACTGTCCTGTTTATGGTCCTAAGTCTCAGCGAGCAAAAGGGATCCAGCTATGCACAAATCTGAATGTGATACTTAGAAGGATGGGGACAGGTAAAAGGAAGGGATCTTGGATGCTGCTGAAAAGGAGAAGCTCTGTGACTGAACTGAAGAATGGGCTGAACAGGCTTCTTTTAGGTGAGAGCCGTACTCAGAGCAGGTTACTGTAAAAGCAAGCTGCTTTCTTGGCTAGTAAGTGTTATGGCCATATCAGATACAGTAGGTCTGAGCAGCTTTTGCTTCAGGCTGTCTTCCTCCATTCATCCACGTCATCCAAAGTGTTTTCTCGGAGTGAGACACTGGATACTAGATTTTAAGTGACTCTTAATTTTTCCTGCAATAGAATCCAGTAAGCCCAGTGCTGAGGGAACTGGAGGAATCCGCGACACTGGCAAAGGCATCCTTCCTAAGACAGAAAAGATGCTGCGCTTGACAGATTGTAAGCTTTTACTCTTCCATGTAAACGGTTCTTTGACTACCTGATTCTGTACGGTCTGCAAGGATAAAGGCTTGCTTCTCTTCCTGTGCCCTTTGTGAGATCTGTGAATTCCTACCTGTAACGCCCCCAAATCGCACCCTACACAGAAACCACTCATGCAAAACAGTAATTTTAAAATTTGTCTTGCATGAAGTCTCTGGAATACCCCTGAAAATCTGTTTTGTTTTTTGTTTTTGTTTTTGAAAAAAAAAAGGATTAAGAGGAATCTGCATCCTTGAGATCTCTGGATTTTTCTGTCATATGAGAGGAACAAAAAAGGGTTTGCTGTTGTAGCACTCGAATTAGGAACGGTCACTGGGGGTATCATCACGTGTGATGCCGACTGAGCTGTGCTATGCAGAAGGGCCTGATGTATTTCTCAGTGACAGAGAATAGAGGTTTGAATGCAAGCGATCCTCTCTGCAGCCCAAGGCCTCAACTTCATTAATTATCAGTTCCAAAAAGTTGTTTCTGCAGAAGAAAACGTGCACTTCAAGGAAAAACTGCTTTGTGGGTGTTACAAGTGCAGCTGGAAGCTGTCTGTAACGCAGTGACTTGCACTCCGTGGGTTGGGGGGACCTTTATTCATATAACAGCCATTGTGATGGTTCTGTTGGTTTTGTACAGAATGTACAGAAATGGTAGAAATACCAGCAGGAAAACTAGTCACAAATTCAGTTATGTGACGGGGAGAAATAGAATGTTTACAGTAAAACCAGCTGTTTTGGTGCTTTTTTTTGGTCACGCCTCACTGCATTTGTTAAAGGTGCTCAAAGTTCGGGTGGGCGATACTTGTTGTTTTTATTTATTTATTGTATCGAAGCCACCCGGGGAGCTTGAAGAACCCCCTCAGGGCAACTAGAGAAGCATCCAGAGCCTCCTGAGAGCCAGCCAGCCCAGGTTGGGCAGCCACCTGAAGCCTCCCGGCTCGTTGTAGCGACCGAAGCCGCGTTGGGGCTTCCTCCCCTCAGAGCTCCCCGTCAGGAGCCCTCAGCGGAGCCCGCTTCCCGCCTCCCGCCTCGCGTCGCCATGGCAACGGGGCCGGTGGCGGGGCGGGGCGTTGCCCCTTGTGACGCGGCGGCGGGAGGGGCGGGGCCGCCGGCAGGGTTTGAATCGCCCAATGGGGGAGCCGCGGGCGGCGGCGGCTCGGCGGCGGCCCCGGAAGTGCGGCGGCAGCGGCGGCGGGGGCTCGGGCTCGTACCCCTGGTGCTGCCTCCAGGCGTCCGCCGCGCCCCGCAGCCGAGGGCTCTATGGCAGCGCCGCCCGCCGCCTCCCCGCCGCCGGCGAGGACAGCCTGAGGAGGCAGCGGCTGGGGCTGACCGACGCCGCGTTCGGTCCTTCATGGTGAGGGAGGGGCCGCCGGGAGGGTGAGGGAGGGCCGGGATCCCCCCCCCCCCCCCTCACCTCACCTCACCTCCCCCGCTGCCCGGTTCGGCTCCTCCCCGCCGGGATGGGAGGTGTGAGGGGGGCACCGGCCGCTGTGCAGCCACCACCCCGGGAAACCCCCCGGTACAGCCCCGGGCTGACCCCGAGCTGCCGGTCCCGGCTCGGAGCAGGAGGCCGGAGCGGGCCCGGGCCCTCACGGGTTCCTCTGAGAACCCCCCTGGGCTTCAGCAATGCTTCAGCAATAAACCTCCGTGGTGCTGGGGAAGCTGCCTGGCAGCTCCGCGGTTGTGTTCGTGGCGATTCAGCTGCCGTTAGGTTCCCAGTGCTGTGGCTGAAGGGGCGCTGCTGGGCCCCGGGAGCTGCTCCCGTCCTGGGGAAGGGGAGGGTGGCGGTGCCCGGCTGTGTTTGCAGCTCTCCGGAGCCAGAAGGGGGAATCCTGGTACTTCAGAAAACTGTCACTTCCTTTTTCTCTTGATTTTCTTGATTTGCTTTTCGTGATTCGCTCCTGATTCTGCACTCAAGAATGTTAAGTGATGGACTGACAGCTTTAGAGCAGGTTATTACATGAACCTTGACAAATTGACAAATTAATCAGGAGCTATAAAGAGTCATCTAAATTCTGTTCTAGCAGAGGTATTGTGTAAAATCCTGCTCTGCTTCATTACAAGTAACACTTTACTTGTAACACGTGTTGTTACGTAGCAAATCATGAAGGAGTGCTTCCATGAGATTAGCAGCTAAGCCCTTTATAACACCAGGCTAATAGCTCTGCTCCCGCCATGCACAGCAGCCCTTGGACGTCCCTCCTCCCTCACTCTCATTTCAAGTCCCCAAGGTGGTACCAGGCAAGCAGCTCACGCTGTGGCTGATTCCGTTTGGTTCTGAGTACACACACATGCTTACTGGGTAGCACTGAGAACTTGTGTTGCGGGCTTTTTTTTTTCTTCTTTCCAGTTTAAGCACAGATTTTGATGCCTTCTCTGCATGTAGACCTAAACCCAGCATGTTGACATTTCTGTTAAGTTTTGTTGCTGTTGGCAGGTTTTAGGGATGGTGTGGGCTTTGAGACAGAAGGGAGATGTACAGGTGCCCTTAAACTATTCAAAACTGATTTCCTTATGAAAAGGGTTAAAAGGGGCACTTGCAGCTGTAACTGAGTTTGGGTGAGATCACCTTGTGTAATTCAACAGAACATTTTCTGTTGTTTAAACCAGCTCTCAGCATCAGTGTGTAAGGAATGGTAATCTCAAATCTTTCTTTATCCTCTGCTTATAGAGGAAAGCACTGACACACCAACTTTTGATGTCTGGATAGGTTGGAGAGCTGGGCGATCGCCAACCGCATGAAGTTCAATAAGAGCAAGTGCCGGGTCCTGCACCTGGGACGGGGAAACCCTGGCTGCACGTACAGACTGGGCGATGAGACGCTGGAGAGCAGCCTAGAAGAGAGGGATCTGGGGGTCGTGGTAGACAGCAAGTTGAATATGAGCCAGCAGTGTGCCCTGGCAGCCAGGAGGGCCAACCGTGTCCTGGGGTGCATCAAGCACGGCATCGCTAGTAGGTCGAGGGAGGTGATTGTCCCGCTCTACTCTGCGCTGGTGCGGCCTCACCTCGAGTACTGTGTGCAGTTCTGGGCACCACAGTATAAAAAGGACATGAAACTGTTGGAGAGTGTCCAGAGGAGGGCTACGAAGATGGTGAAAGGCCTGGAGGGGAAGACGTACGAGGAACGGCTGAGGGCACTGGGCCTGTTCAGCCTGGAGAAGAGGAGGCTGAGGGGAGACCTCATCGCAGTCTACAACTTCCTCGTAAGGGGGTGTCGAGAGGCAGGAGACCTTTTCTCCATTAACACCAGCGACAGGACCCGCGGGAATGGAGTTAAGCTGAGGCAGGGGAAGTTTAGGCTGGACATCAGGAAGGGGTTCTTCACAGAGAGAGTGGTTGCACACTGGAACAGGCTCCCCAGGGAAGTGGTCACTGCACCGAGCCTGACTGAATTTAAGAAGAGATTGGACTGTGCACTTAGTCACATGGTCTGAACTTGGGTAGACCTGTGCGGTGTCAAGAGTTGGACTTGATGATCCTTAAGGGTCCCTTCCAACTCAGGATATTCTATGATTCTATGATTCTATAAGTACAATAAGTCTGAGTCTGCACCTTGCCTTAATTTGAAAGGAAGAGGGTGATCAGAAATTGGCACCCTTCCCTATCAGTGGTCATTTTATTATTTCTGCACCAGGTTTCCCTCAACCATCAAAAATGAAGTGACTTCAGTCTCTGCACAGAGCACACTGTCAAGAGGAACTAAAAACCTTACAATAACTGTAAGTATACCTAAGCTGACATAAATTGCTTTGGGTGGAATTTTATAAAATTTTCCATTGCACTATACTGAGGAACCATTACCTCAAATAGAGGATCATGTCCAAAACTGATTTCTTTAGCTTTGTGTTTTGCTTTTGTGTGTTGTGTTAGGCAACGTTAAGGTTATGCATGTAATTAATGTAGGGATTTGTAAATATATGCATCACTGTGAGATAATCTGAAGAAAAGATATCTGAAAGCTTTTAAGCATTTGTTTAACTTCAAAAAGACTCTTGAAGTTAAGCACATATGAAAGAGTTTGCAGGTTCAGGGTTTTAGGATGGAGTGATCTTATGGTTTCCTCTTGATTTCTTTTTTTTTTTTTTTTTTTCATCTAATCTGTTAAATGAGTGCTTTTCCCTCTTTCTCTATAATTTGTGTTCGGACTCTGATGGTGCTGGGTACTGGAGCCTTTGATTTGTACGCTTGCTCTAAGACTTGGAACTCCAATGACTCTTACGGGCATCCTCTGTCACTCCAACTGTTTGGTCTTTAATAGCTGTGTTAAAAGCAGGAAATAGCAGAAGTAGAGAGATTGTTTGTGTTAATCTCTTTCCAGCAATATAACGTGCTGTTCAAAATGGCAGATGCTGCTGAAAGGAAGCTCAAACTGTAACCACAGCTGGCCACTGTTGCACACAGGGAAATGTTGTTATTTCCAGTCTCCTTATCCACAGGTTTCCTTTCCTTGTATTGCCCTTTCCCATTTGTGGGAGAAGAGCCATGAAGAACCGTTCCTCATCTCCCCCTTTGCACGTCCATGTGGATGAAAACACCCCTGTCCATGTCCATATTAAAAAGGGTCAGAAAACCACACCTGCAAAATGCCAGGTAGGAGTGTGCAGCTGGGCGTTTGTAGGGGCTACAGAGGAAACAGTGGGTCCTAGAAGCGCCACCAAATCTTCAAGGTCTGCTTTACCTTTATATTAGAACTGGAAGACTTTCTGCCTTGTTAACTGTACGCATGTTCAGTGGTGAATTTTCAGTAATATGTTTTCTCTGTTTAAGATGTGTTAAGTATGGTATTGAATAAATAGTTTTTGTGGATCTTGTTGACTGCAAAGTAGGGAAAATGTTTTAAGGGTTTTTTGTAACTGCGCCATTCTTTTTTCTCTGGTGGTGCTGTTGTCAAATGATACAGCTGCTCTTTTGTGAGAGGAATTTGGAACAGTGAAGGGATCTGCCAGGTTGTTCCTTCTGCACGTGAATGGGTTGTATTGCAGTATTTTTTGTGTATCTCCATACAGAGTAGGCTTCCTTCCCTATCCCCTCTCCCCAAATCCTCCACCCCTGGCCTGCTGGATAAGGTTTTCATTGCTTCACAAGTGCATATATTCTGGTGATATAACAGAATAGCTATGTGATAAGTAATGAGAATCTAGCCATACCATCAAGTGAATATGCTTTTCTTCTGGCTGGTGTTAGCCTCCTCTGATGGCTGCTCACTCATCTGATCTGCTGTATGACATCAAACACTCTGGTGTTTTTGCATGAATGATCTTCCATTTGTTTTTGCAGCACAAACTGTAAATATTTTTAGAAGTCGTAGTGATTTATCTTATTTTCTCTTTTCTGTCCTTCAGCAAAAGCAAAAACAGAAAATGAGAGGGAATACCGTGAATGCACGCCGAACTGTCCAGGTGAAAACTAAGGCCCCCTGGATGCCCCCAGGAAAAACATCTGTCCTGGAGTCCACCTACAAATGGGAGGTACGGCTGATATTGCTATTAAAAGCAAGCTTTCAGCTTTAGCTGAGGTTGAAGAGAGCACTTACAGAATGTTACAATGGAGGGAGCTGGGCTGATCTGAAAGAATCCTGCCATCACATGCGATCCATTTTAAGTGTCTCATACACATCTTTGTCACTTCTTAGTATTAGTTGGTTTTTAAACTTGGTGAAAAGAAAGGTGAGGAGTGACCACGTTGTTCTCTTCTGCGGAGATGGGGAAGTGGAGAGGGAGATGCT